GAGTTCCGAAGTCATTTAAGTAGACACCAAATATCAATACACAAAAGTCGCAAAGATATTACATGCGACAAGTGCGAGAGAAAATTTGAAAATAAATCAACTTTACTCAAGCACAAAAAAATATTCCACGAAGTTTTCAAAAATTACTTATGTGAAATATGCGCGAAGAGATTTGACAGTAAAAATAGTTTACTCATACATATAAAAACAGTCCATGAGGGTCCCAAAGACTTCGCTTGCGACAAGTGCGAGGAGAAATTTAGAAAAAAATCACATTTACTCTTCCACCTAAAGATAGTACATAAAGATCGAAATGATTTTGCCTTGAAAGTCTTCAAAGATTACCAATGTGACCATTGTGGAAAGAAATTGGGAAGTAAACGGTATTTACTCTTGCACATAGCTGTTGTCCATGAAGGCCGCAAGGATTTCACCTGTGACAAGTGTGAAAAGAAATTTGGATACAAACGGAATTTGCTTTTACACCAAAAAACAGTCCACGCAGGTCGAAAAGATTTCAAATGCAACAAATGCGAGAAAAAATTTAAACATAAATTTGGTTTGCTCTCCCACCAAAAGACATTCCATGAAGGTCTTAAAAATTACGCTTGCGACAAGTGCGAGAAGACATTTGGATATAAAAATACTTTGCTTCTCCACGAAAAAACTGGACACGAAGGTCGTAAAGATTACACGTGCGAAAATTGGGGGAAAACATTTGGGCAGCAAAGTACTCTATTCATCCACAAAAAAACAGTTCGCGACCGTCGTAAAGATTTTGCGTGTGATACGTGCGAGAACAAATTTGGACAAAAATTACGTTTGATCAGGCACCAAAGGGCAGTACACAACGGTTGCAAAGATTTTGAATGCGACAAATGCGAGAAAAAATTTGGATATAAAAGCAGTTTGCTCTTGCACGTAAAAACGGTCCACGAAGGTCGAAAAGATTATGCTTGTGACAAGTGCGAGAAAAAATTTGGGCAACGAAACAATTTGATAAAACATCAAAAAACAATCCACGCTGGTCGCAAAGATTACGGATGCGATAAGTGCGAAAAGAAATTTGGACATAAATGGATTTTGCTTTTACACCAAAAGACAGTACACGAAGGTCGCAAAGATTTTGCATGTGACAATTGCGAGAAAAAATTTGGACTAAAACATCATTTGCTTTTGCACCAAAAAACGGTACATGAAGGTCTCAAAGATTACGCATGCGATAACTGCGAGAAAAAATTTGGAAGAAAATCGGATTTCTTAAAGCATCAAAGGACGGTACATGAAGGTCGCAAAGATTTTGCGTGTGATAAGTGCGAGAAGAAATTTGGACAAAAAATGCAATTCATCAGGCACCAAAAGACTGTACACGAAGGTCGCAAAGATTTTGCATGTGACAATTGCGAGAAAAAATTTGGACTAAAACATCATTTGCTTTTGCACCAAAAAACGGTACATGAAGGTCTCGAAGATTTCGCATGCAATAACTGCGAGCAGAAATTTGGAAAAAAATCGAATATGTTAAAGCACCAAAGGATGGTACATGAAGGTCCCAAGATCACGCTTGTAACAAGTGCGAAAAAAAATTTGGAGAAAAATCGAAATTAATCAGACACCAAAAGACAGTACATGAAAGTAGCAAAGATTAGGCACGTAACAAATGCGAGAAAAAATTTCGACTCGAATATCATTTCCTTTTGCAACGAAAGGCAGTACATACACGAGAGTCATAAAGTTAAGCATGCTACAATTGATGGGTAAGGAATGACAATTGCCAATTGTAAATATGTATAGATACTCACACATATGTTTTTATAAAATTTCAATAAAAGTTGTGCTGAAATGATTGTGTATTACTTGAACCTTGAGCATTTTATTACACAGACACACAAAAAAAAAATGCTCAGTTCTAGAGACCGGACTCAGTTGACTTTTGTTTTTTGGGTCGCTGAATCCGAATCCGTCTTCGGTTTTTCGCCATCAGATCGATTTAAGGTCATTTGAAGGTCATTTAAAGGTCAAATCATGAAAAATAGGTTTAAAAATCTGAAACTATCCCTACATAGGTTTTTGAGGATGCTGCATTCAAATCTGAAGTCAGATGACCTGTAAAACCTTTCCTTCAAGGTCATTTGAAGGTCAAACTTAAAAAATTCGATATAAAAATCCGAAAAATATATTTTTTATGTTTTGGGGGTCGCTGAATTCAAATTCAGGGTCATTTTGACTTAATATTGACATCTACAGGTCATTTAAAGGTCATTTGAAGGTCAAATCATGAAAAAAAGGTTAAAAAATTGGAAAAACTCCTGTATGGGTTTTCCAGGATGCTGAATTTAAATCTAAAGTCAGATGACCTCTACGATCTTATCTTCAAGGTCATTTGAAGGTCAAACTTAGAGATTTCAATATAAGAATGCAAAAAATATCACATTTATGTTTTGAGGGTCGCTGAAATTGAAATGAAAATGAACAAAGTTCATTTTCACTATACTGAGTTATTTTAAGCTTATTTCAAGATTAAGTAGATGAAAAGAGGGCAAAACTTGATGAAATATTGTTAATTTTGCATGCCTTTTTACCTTTTTCTTTTGTAACGCACCTTATTTTCTTCAAATGATCGGCGTAAAGGTTGCCGTTTGCGTTTAATTCCTTTATGTTGGCTCTCTCTCTTCAACATCCAGCAGTAATCAGCCATCATTGCAACATCCCATCTACCTTGATATCGCTGCTCCATATGTTTAATGTCTTGATGGAATCGTTCTCCTTGCTCGTCGCTAAAATCCCCACAGTTTTCCGGGAACTCATCTGAATGGTTATGCAAGAAATGCAGTTTGTAAAACATATTACATTTCATTTCACCGAAATTGTTTATCATTGTTGATATTAAAACTTTGTAATCATCACTTCTGCGATTACCTAGAAAATTTTCCACAACATTTTTGAAGCTAACCCATGCAGCTTTCTGAATCTCAGTCATCTTAGTTGGAAAAGTGTCATCTTTCAGCAATTTTCTTATTTCTAGTCCATCGAATATTCCTTCTTTTAATTTGGCATCAGATTTATAGGAGAATTTAGATTCTAAATATTTGTAACATTCATCGCTCACACTCAAAGCTTTTACAAATTGTTTCATAATGCCCAATTTGATATGTAAAGGAGATAGTAAACCTTTTTTAGGGTCTACTAACGGACTGTTCATAACATTATGATGTCCAGGTTCTAGAGAATTTCTCTCAGACCAATTGTAGTCAGTAAAATGTTCTTCACAATCTCTGCTGTCCCATTAGCACTTGAAACATGGGTACTTTGTAAATCCAGATTGCTGTCCTGCTGATGGGAGGGGGCCAACATAGAGGAAATAAACGCAAACGGCAACCTTTACGCCGATCATTTGAAGAAAATAAGGTGCGTTACAAAAGAAAAAGGTAAAAAGGCATGCAAAATTAACAATATTTCATCAAGTTTTGCCCTCTTTTCATCTACTTAATCTTGAAATAAGCTTACAATAACTCAGTATAGTGAAAATGAACTTTGTTCATTTTCATTTCAATTTCAGCGACCCTCAAAACATAAATGTGATATTTTTTGCATTCTTATATTGAAATCTCTAAGTTTGACCTTCAAATGACCTTGAAGATAAGATCGTAGAGGTCATCTGACTTTAGATTTAAATTCAGCATCCTGGAAAACCCATACAGGAGTTTTTCCAATTTTTTAACCTTTTTTTCATGATTTGACCTTCAAATGACCTTTAAATGACCTGTAGATGTCAATATTAAGTCAAAATGACCCTGAATTTGAATTCAGCGACCCCCAAAACATAAAAAATATATTTTTCGGATTTTTATATCGAATTTTTTAAGTTTGACCTTCAAATGACCTTGAAGGAAAGGTCGTACAGGTCATCTGACTTCAGATTTGAATGCAGCATCCTCAAAAACCTATGTAGGGATAGTTTCAGATTTTTAAACCTATTTTTCATGATTTGACCTTTAAATGACCTTCAAATGACCTTAAATCGATCTGATGGCGAAAAACCGAAGACGGATTCGGATTCAGCGACCCAAAAAACATAAAGTCAACTGAGTCCGGTCTCTAGAACTGAGCATTTTTTTTGTGTGCCTGTGTTATCAATACATCTTTACATAATAACATTGTGGTGCTTTCAGATTTTGCGTGCGACAAATTACTAATCTTCTTGCCATTTTTTGGCTATTTGCTTTTTGAAGTTATTGATAAGCTCCTGATGATACGCGCGCCTGAATTGATCGAACACGCCCAAGTAAAAGATTTTGACAAATTTGCTGACTTAATTTTTGCTACGAGAGGCGTGATCAGTAAAAACAATGTGTTCTATCTGAAAAAACCAATGTGGAAACCATTTAATAATCTAATTTAAACCAAAAAATATTTTCTACTTCTTCATAGAAGTTTTCATAATTGTTTCCGGATTGCGTGAGCAGTAGATGAAAGTTTGCGTGAAGGCAACCCCTTTTTTCAATCCGCCACTGAAAGTAGATCACGAGCAAGATATGTAGAGCACTGCTTCTTGACTCAAGACAACATCGACATTTCGACACAACTAAAAATTATCATTAACACCATTTAAAAGATTTCACACATAAATGGATACTTTTAACTCAATAAATATTCCATTATGCAGGAAGATCATTACATGAATTTTATGTCATCAACTCCAATCTTATTTATTGAACTCACGCACTGAATTTACAAGTAAGAAAGAATACATACGATTTTATTTAAAAAATTTATTAAAATAAATTATAATTTTTTATATTCTTTGAGTAAGTTAGTATTTAAAATTTCTAAAAATTTTAAAGATGTATCTGTTTTGCCGAGAAAAAGAACAAAAACATTGTTCCCGAAACCGAAAATTGTTTATTAAATTAAATCGTTTCGTATTGAATTAATAAAAAAAAAGATGATGCAATCAGATACGTTTTCATTTTTCTTGCTTGTTTTGAATATGGCGGAAAGTTTTTGTAACACCCTGGCGTTTACAACTATTTTTGTCGCGCCCGTAAAACGATGCACACTTGAAAGAGAGAATCCAAAGTAGAAAAAAAGTTTTTTTTTATTCATTCAGCGCTGATAAGCTTTCAATTTGGTCGAAGCTTGGCTCTTTTCCGAGCCGATCGAGTGGCTGCTCATGGTCGCTCGGGGGGCTCTGCTGCTCGCGCCGCTGCGATGAGTCTTCGGCGTCGCGACTCTCGATCCAAGATTGTTGTTGCTCTTGTTGCAGGTCTCTCTCTTCGGATAGGCGGCGGCGACGCTACCGGGTGTCTTTTTCAGCTGGCACTGATGATTGAACATACTTTCCCGTACGCTTCTCTTCCTCTGCTCCTCGTACATGTCGAAGGCGCTGTTGGGACAGAGGGGAGTCGTGCAGATCCTGTCGTGCAGCTCGAGTCGTTCCATCTTGTTGAGCGACTGCACATGTTGGGACAGAAGATTCAGATCGTCGTTCGGTTATTCGTTTCGATGATTTTTATTTTGTTTCGTCGTACATCGTACCTGAATCCAAGCGTCGACGTTGCGAATCGATTGATTCTTCTGCTGGCTCTGCTTGTAGGCCTCGGTCAATTTTTCCTCGTACTTGGCCGTCGTTCGCTGGAAACGAACGTCATGAACCACATAGTACATTCACAGTGCATCCACACAAGCTTACTTTGAACTCGATTTTAAGCTCAGATTTTTCTCGTTTCAGCTGCTGAATCTGCTCGAGCATGTCGCTGAGATTGCTGCAGTTGGCTCGATTCCGTTCCTCGGTCTTGGCCAACTCTTCCTTCAACTGGCCGATCGTTTGTTCTCTGTCGCTCGCCTCTTTGTCCTTCATGAGCAACTCTTTCTCTTGGAAGCGCAGCTGTTATAAAAAAAACATCAACAATTTAAAGTCTTAATATTTTGCATCGCTTCAACGAACGGTATACCTTGTCCTTTTGCTCGCGCACTTGCTGCTGCAACGCTTGAACGGCCGGATCGATAGTAGCGGGTTTCGTGACGACCGCCTTGTTGAACTGCTCGAATCTCTTGACCAGATGATCGACGTTGTCGATCAGCTCCTGCGTGTGTTCTCTCGTTTTCTGCTTCTGGCCCATCAGCAATTTCTCGTTCTCCCGCTTGAACACGTCGATCTGCCTCTCGAGATCCTGATTCTCCACCGACACCCTGTCCAGGTGATTCTTCACTTTAGTTCGGTCGCGCTGCAGGGCGTACAGATGCGACTCGAGCTGTCTCAGCCTCGTCACCAGCTCGTTCTTCTCCTCGACCAGATCCGCGACCTGGTCCTGCAGCAGCTGGAGCGCGTCCAAGTCGACCTTGCGCACCGTGTCCTGGATCACGCTGCGCTCCAGCTGCTTGATCGTCTCGCCGGCCTCGAGCAGCTTCGAGTAGAGCAGATCGTTGCAGTCGAGCGACTCCTTGAGCTTGGACTGCTCCTGGCGCAGCTGCTTCTCCAGCGACTCGATGCGCTCGTTTTTCTCCAGCTTGAGAATCACGTAGCTCTCCTCGGCCAGGGCCAGGCGATTGTTCATGTCGTCGATTTTCTCCAGGCTCACTTGGAGTCTACGGCGATTGCGCAAATAATAGCGAGTATTTATATCAACGAGACATTGCATAGTGATTAAAAATTATACCTGTCCTGCATCTGTCGCACGACCAACTGGAGCTCGTTATTTTTCTCCGCGAGAAGATATCTGCACTTGTCGAGATCGGTCACGAGCTGTTGGCACTTGCCTCGACTGCGCTCGAGGTCGTCCTGAAGCTGACTCTTTTGCGCGTCCATGTCATCGAGCTCGGATAGCGCGACGTTGAGCTGATGCTCCAAATCGTCTTTGTACATCGACTTGATAATCGAATCTATTGAAGAGAGCATTTTAATTCAATGAAACCAATAATAAATTCAAATGTAATCGAATGTTCGTACTTTGCGTTAAAATCGCAGTAATCCTCGTGACGATCTGATTGGAGTTGTCGACGCATTGAAGAATTCGTTGAGTCGTCACGTTCTTGACGGTAAAGGGACGCTGCTGCTCGATAAAATCGTCGCTGTCCCTCTCCTCGATGACGGGAAGCAACTCGGTCGAGGTCGTGTCCTCGATCATACTCCTCAAAGCGTCGTCGGATCTGCGCAGGGCCTGATGCATGCGCTCCAGCTCGAGCAGGAGAAAATTCTCGCACTCGCGATAGTCGCGGTGCTCGTCGATGCTCGCGCGCAGCTTCTCCAGGGCGGCCGAGGCCTCCTTGACCACCCCCATGTAGGCCTGCTCGGTCTCCTCGAGGCGGCGCTGGGCGTCGATGCGCAGCAGCAGGTCGTCCACGATCTTCTTCATGTCGCTCTTGACGGAGCGGAAGTTCTCGGCGGCGGACCTGATGTCGCTGTCGCGCTTGGTCCGCTCCTCGCTCCTCAGCCGCTGTATCTGTCGCGCGAGATCGGCTCGCTGCTTGGCGCAACGCTCGTGCTCCCGCATGAGCCTCTCGAAGCCGCGGCTCAGCAGCTTGGCCTGGTCGGGCTGCTGCCCCTCCTCCTCCTCGTGCGCGTGAACCGCCGCCGCCACAGAATCGCCGATGTCGCTGTTACCGCTGCTGCTCGCCTCCGTGTCGTTGACGTCGTCGCAGCAACTACCAGCGACGTGAGCGACACCGGCTCCGAAGACCTGGCTCAGATCGCGAACCAGCCGACTGACCTCCGACTCCATGGTGAGTAGCTGGGCTTTGCACTGGCTCAGACGCTCCTCGCTCGTGCTCGCCTCCTCCAGAGCCTCTTGCAACTCCAGCTGCAATATTTGACGAATCGTGCATGCTACAGGATACGAAATGGACCGACTCGTCGTATATTGAGTTCGAGTGGAGTCGATAAATTTCGAGTACCTCGATGCTTTCGAGTACTTAAACTTTTGGAATAGTGCAAGAGCATAACTTGGTTTGAATGTGTACAATAGATAAATTGTGAGATATTTTACTTCCAGTGATTGGGTGCTTATCGATGATCAATAAATTCGAAACTCGTTCTTTCTTTTCAAATTTATTTATTCGAATGATAGTATGGAAAATTTGCAAAATTAATTTGTACAAGACATTAAAACATACTGCAAATATGTTTATTCGTATGACGAATTTTGACTAATTTTATAAGCCAAACAAATATGATATAAGTCTTTATTCATGAATGATTCATCGATGATCTTTTCACAAACTTCGATCGGCAGTCGGTAATTTATCAGCTTCATGAATGAGTCCACTGCCCATAGCCGAAAAAATCTTCTCGCTATCGACTCCCTAAAATGCTTAAAACAAAGCGATCTTACAAGGGCGTGGGAGGTCAATGGAAGATTTTTCGAGCTCAACAACTCGAAGTAATCGGTAGGTGTGAGCCATTTATCTGCTTCTTCGGGTCTTAAGTGTAATAGGTCGTAGAGCGACAGGCCCGGACGTAACATTTTCTTTTTCGCTTCGTTCGTGAATCCAACGTACTTATAGTTATCCCAAGGTACTTCGAGGTCCGTCGAGTTAGAGAACCCTATGTGATCATTAAAAAAGTCCATGATCTTCAGAACGTCCTCTAGCTTCAGGGGGTATTCATTTTCCTGTAAACTTACTGAGACGGCCAAGGCGCCAGACACTGACCTCAATTTAGACATTTCCGATATTTTATAACCCGGACGTTCGAATCTTTCTTCGTAGGAGAACTGTTCGGGAAAAATGAAGCCTAAGAAATTAGCGCCTCTGTCCAATAGTGCATACACCACATCCGGATTGAGATTCACTACTGCTAATTGCATCGGTGTCCGACCCAACTTGTCCCGGGTATCAATTTGCACTGTTAGATGTTGCTTCTTGACGATCTTGAAGAATGGCTCGACCAAGTCTTTAATATCACAAAACAACGCTGTGTCTCTCTCGCTAATAATGTGCAGAGGAGTCGATCCCTCATTGTTGGCTTCATTCGGGTCGGCGCCATATCTCAGCAGCCACTGGGCTAAGTTTTTGTGGCCGTTCTTCAGTGCCAAGTGTAACGGGGTGTTACCCAACTTGTCCCGGACGTTCAACTGAAGCGATTGATGTTTATTGCTGCCACCATAAAATAACGTCTTAGCCAAATGAATATAATCGTTTTTATTCTGACAAATAATGTGCAGAGGAGTCGATCACTCATTGTTGGTTGCATTCGGGTCGGCGCCATATTTCAGCAACCACTGGACTAAGTTTTTGTGGCGGTTCTTCAGTGCCAAGTGTAACGGAGTGTTACCCAACTTGTCCCGGACGTTCAACTGAAGCGATTGATGTTTATTGCTGCCACCATAAAATAACGTCTTAGCCAAATCAATACAATCGTTTTTATTCTGGCAAATAATGTGCAGAGGAGTCAATCCCTCATCGTTGGCTACATTAGGGTCGGTGCCATTTTCCAGCAGCCACTGGACTAAGCCTTTGTAGCGGTTCTTTAGTGCCAAGTGTAGCGGTGCGTTACCCAACTTGTCCCGGGCACCGATCTGTATGGGTTGATGTTTACATATTTCAATATAATATAACATCCGAGCCAAATTATGATAATCGTATTTATTCTGACAAATAATGTGCAGAGGAGTCGATCCCTCATTGTTGGCTTCATTCGGGTCGGCGCCATTTTCTAGTAGCAATCGGACAGAGTCTTCGTGGCCGTTCTCCAGTGCCAAGTGCAGCGATGTATTGCCCAAATTAGTCCGGGCGTTCACCTGCACCGGCCGATATTGGTCTCTGCTATCATTGAATATGCAATCCATCAAACAATAATCTTCGTGGTCATGCATGCAGGTCACGTGCAGAGGTGTCAATCCGTTTTTGTTGGCTAAATTCGGGCTGGCGCCTCCTTTCAGAAGCAATTTAACCGCATCACTGTTCTTGTACTTGATAGCGAAGTGTAGCGGCGATTCACCTGTTTTTTCATACAGGTGATTGGGATCATGGCCAGCCTCCAGGAATTTATCAATGGACCGATCAGCTAAAAACGTGCAGGCTGCGTGAAAGTGAGTGAGGCCAGACTCGTCGGTGTAGTTCAGATCAAATCTGTTGTAAATTTCAAGAATTTTTAAAGGACGGCAACGGTTCCTACAAACCGCACGATGCACTGCTGTGGTACGACGCAAAAGTGGATTGCCGTCCTCATCAACTTTGGGCTCATCTTTGTATCCGGTTTTTATCGCAAAATTTATGAAATTATCTCCATCAAACCACGAACGGCCATCCACGGACGCCTCGAGCAACCAATCAATTTCTTCTTCTTGAAAAATATCTCGGAGATTTGGAAGTTAGCCTTCCCACTTCCAAGTTACCGAGGGGCCAAGTTTCTCAAGAAATTTATATCGTTGTTGCTTGTACTTCAAATTGTAGTCATCTCGAAAGCTTTTCAATTGTTCTAAGCTCGAGAGTTTTCCCGTAGTTCCAGACATCGTTCTGAGCATTCCCGCGCATAACACACAATCGCTATTATAATTTAAAGTATTTATTACTTTTTTTTGTCGCGAAATTAATCACTTGCTTCTGTCGGTGCGATCTTGTTGGCCGTCTGGTTATACACGTAACAATACGATCTGTACGAGCAAGAGACACGTAGACGAAGCTACAAGAGTTACAAGTAGCCCGAGCTAATGTACACAGTATCGAGTGTTGAGTGAAAATTGTAAATGCAGAGCAGTAAGGGCCGCTCCTGTATATGAAAATACGCGAAATTAATAAGAATAATATACGGCTAGGTATAGACGTCGAGCCCTACTTGGCTGGATTCACGCTTTTCCAGGGCGACTCTAACGAGCGGGAAAATCTCAAATTGTCCTGACAATGCCAAATCGGGAACTCGAGTTATACGTATTATACCGTAAATCGGAGCCAGTCAAGAAATATATGATTATGAAGCTTGAAGTGTGATTGGCAAATACTCGCATTGACGTATCGCTCTAACATCATCACGCATTATTATATTTAACTATGATACTATGAGTTTCATACGGTAACGTGATGAGTTGCGTATAATATGGTAAAAACTGTTACCAAATTAAACAACGCCGACTGTCGTTCTCGATCGAGCCGAGTTTTTTCGGGGTACTTTCACACGTCTTTATTTTCGAACGTACAAGTTATGGGTAAAATATAAAACACCGAATTTTTCGTGATTACAAATATTACCTTGACCCTGTCGTACTTGTCGTTGAGCCGCTGCACAATGTCGAGCAACTTTTCGATCTCGCCGTCCTGCTCGCGGTTCTGCTTGCGCAGATCGTCCCTCTCGCGCTGCAGCTGCTTCATCGTCGCCTGGAGCGACGAGTTCTCCTTGCCCAGGGTCTCCAATCGCTGCTTGGCGACTTTCAGCTCGTTCTGCGCGAGAGACAGAAAGATAAGGATCAAATTTGAACGTGGGTTTCCTCGACGACGAGAAAAAACCGAGCACAGAAAATAAAATACAGATATAATGACCAACCGTCAGAGTGTCGTGCAGAGATTGCGCATCGAGCAGGGCCCGTCGAAGATTCGCGACTTTCTGCGAGTCTTCCGAGTGCGCCCGCTGCTCTTGCCTCAATTCAACCTCCAGCTGCTCGATCTGTGTGCAGGCCATAATTTTTCAACGATACATTATTTGGCTCGATCGCGAGTGTCAATTTTCAAAGTGAGAGAACAGCCACCGCTTACCCGCTGTTTCGTCGCCACGAGCTCCTCGCTCTTCTGCTGGACGACTCGCTCGATTTCGCTCTGGGTGTTCTGCAACGTAACAATCTCACTGTATTAACGTACAAACATTTCTGCATATATTATATACCAACTCTAGAGTTGTCCTCGAGCACTTGGATCTCCGACTTCATCTTGTCCATGATCGACTCGAGGTATCGGTTCTGCTCCTCCGAGCGGCCGAGCTCGGCATCTTTCACCTGTGTGCAAGTATCGAGTAATTGAGTATACCAAAGCATCGTTTAAAGTAACATCTAATGCTCGTATAATAGCTGACATTGCACTCGTTTTGGAGCTCGATGATCTGCCGATCTTTCTCCTCGATTTCCGTGATGGTCGCGTGGGGTGCGTCGCGGCTCCAATCCAATCCGGGTATCTACAGTCCAATACGGGGTAGGCAATAGTAAAAAATAATTTAGCTTTTTTTCATCGTAAGATAAGACGTTTGAAACTCACGCTCCACGTGACACTGGCCGTCTCGAAGACGTAGCTCGACGAGTCATCTTGCTGATCATCTGGAAAGATGTATACAAGAATCGATGTAAGTTCGCAACGCTATATAGTCGGTTAAAGCCCTACGGTCGGTATTGTACCGGGGATGAAGGCGCAGCCGGTAGCGTCGAATCTCACGTACTCGATCACCCTCCTGTACTCGCTCGAGCACTCGTCCCACTCCGTGTCTTCCAACTGTTGGCTCGCGCAAGAATTAGAATCTCGAGTCGATCGAGCTTTCTAGCTCACACTTACGTTCCTCAACTTCTCGATCTGTTCCTCGCTCAGCTCGATCTGCTTGTACTTGGCCAATTCGCCCTTGACCCTTACGAGCTGATTCTCGGCCAAAGTGCCCAATTCGATGAGGTGCTCGATTATTCGCTGGTAGCACGAGTCGGCGTGCACGAGCTGCTGCTGAGGCTTCTGCTTCTGTCGCCTCTTCCTGATCGGACGACAGTCGCCGTCGGCGAGGCCGTTACCGATCGCCCTCTGACGATTCTGACGGCGGGATCGACCGCCGAAGTACGGGAATATGTCGAATCCGTAATCACTGAACGACATCCTGCTAGCATCTTTCGTCCCCGATCCTGTGAACGAACTTCATCGACCGAGAAAAAAAAAACACCTAGAAAAATTTACGCAATGTACGAGGTTACGCGCGGTCAAACGGCATGACCGGCATGCGGCCGCGCTTCGATGTTGTTTTGTCGCGCAAAGTCAGCTGTATCGCGTGGAAAAAATGACATATTGTCGACACAAGGTTCAAAATGACAACATCGAAGTTTTTTTTTATTGTAAAATACTTTTATTGTTCCTCGCATTTAACATCTCGTTAAATGCCGCAATACATTTTTTCCTTCTTTTTCTCTTTTTCGCTACCGATGCATAAATAATACTTTTTCATGTATCTAAAACTTATTTGCTGTTTTATCTTTTTTTTTTAAATTCATTTTTTACGTTTATCACTATTTTTTTGCATTTTTTCGTATATGATTATTAAGTCACGATTACCTTTTTTGTTTTTTTGATTTGACACGATTATTGCCCTAAAAATTCTGTTTGTAAGTTTTCATTTTTTCGAGCATGCAATTACAGATTGGCACGCGAATAAACAATATAAGTACACATGCGTACATAGTCGTACAGTCGTCGCAATAGTAGTAGTAGTAGTAGCTCGTATAACAGGTAATAATCATAAAAATATCTTTTTTTAAAAACTTTTCCGCTAAAATATGTTCTTTTCTACGAAAATTAAGTATAATGTGATTGTACCAACGTATAGCATATAAGCATATATATTTAATATATATTCTATGACTTCATAACTGCAACGTATGATAAAGGCTATCAATATAATCAAATAGTCTTTGTTGGTAAAATGGTGCAGCGGTATATAGTTTCATTAAATAATATTCATTCAAATTTTATGTAGACAATTACGAAAATTGACCATAAAAAAATTAATCATCCACCCATGTCATTGGACAACCCTAACTCGTTTGTTATAAATATAAATAAATACGGATATGCAACGGATAATTTAAAAAAATAGTCGATATGCTAATAATATATTAATAAATGACCGTAAAAATAATATATTATCGATATACTTTCTGTATAAATTGCAGTGGACTGCCTTCAAATAAAAAAGTAAAGTTAATATACAATATATACAATTGGAATATCTATTGCTCACCAATTAACAAGTAGAGATTAATCGAACGCATCAACTTGTAAGTAGCTTTCGAAATTCAAACATGATACAATACAATTCTTATGACTTTACTCTTTTTTACAAAAGCACCATGCACATTCAACATCATTTTCAATAGAAAGACTCTAAAACACATGTTAATCGATTGCCAATGTAATTCATTTGTACATGATAAAAAGACCTGACCTTTACAGTCAATAGTGCACAACTCATTCTCAGATAACAATCATATTCGACATTGAAAATCTTCCTTTTTTTTCGAAGTACATACAAAGAGAATCACTATTTTTCAATTATTAAAAATTCGTCTGAATACTAGTTTTATTTCATTATCAATTTTTATTTATTTACAATTTAATATTTGATGAAAGGCCTCTCCACAGTTGATTAATATTATAGTGAAATGGTTCCCTTGAAACTATATATGTACAATTTATTGCTAAATAGTGACTCATGCATTCTCTCATAATCAACTCTTACAAACCACAAGAGGGCCCAATGACCCACAAGAGTTTCAAACAATTTTCATTAAAAAATCATGTATTGAAAAACGATATGTTTGCACCCATACATGTATAGATTATATGAGTTTTAATTAATTATTTAATTCGGTTAAGTAAATATTCAGTTTTTCTTCCTGACATATCAAATTTCAAATTAAAATTCATAGCATACTATACAAAATGTGCATGATATTTTAATTTTTTAAATTATATATAATAAAAAATGCAGGATAAAAATACCCAATAAATTAAATCATAAACTAATTCACGTCAATTTATGAAAATGCAGTTCATTAATATGATAATAATCTCGAAATCAAAGCCTCGAGTTTAATTAAAATTTGATCGGTTCATTAAAAAAAGTAAAGCAAATACTATCAAAAGATTACATCTATAGGTAAAAGAATGATTAATTTGAAATTGATATTCATTAATCAAAAATTTAGACGGAATCAACATAACATTGCATGAAAATAATTACTGCGATAATACTCTCAAAATGTATACGTATTAGACTATATTCCGGAATTAAAAGATTTTCGGTAAACTGCTTGATCATAAAATTACCGCTTATTTAAGCTTTTTATAAATTAGCATACAACTAATAAATAAGTACAATCTATATAAACTAAATTTATATGGATTAAAGATTACTCACTTTTAAATGATCTAAATAACGAACCGATGTGATAACGGAATATCGTTTAAAAGCACACATCGTAAAGCGATCAAAATAAAAAAGGTAAAAGAGAGAATTTAATTACTAATTAAAAATTACCTCTACGCTTAAGTAAAACCGTAAGGCATCATTACTTTTTAAGTACACTTGAGAAGTTTTTCATAAAAGTAAGTAAACATTCGAGATAGCTGATCATTTTTTCGATCACCTCGTCAACATGACGATTTATAATCAATAATTTCTCGAGTCATAGTCAATCAATTTCATTTTTATCTAACAATGATGAAACTTTGTTTCTTCTCCCTTTCTTAATTCATTTACGGCAAAGGCCATTTGTTAAAAAGTTGGTTAAAGTATCTAATTAAGCGAGTAAATTCGCTCAGTTTGATACATATTTCAAGTGTAAATTGTTGGCTTTTTGAAAGCAAGACAGTATTTTAATTATTTCCTTGCGAGCATAGGAGCCCAGCTCTAGAGATGCAAAACACCTTGGTCATGTTGCGTGAAGCGATTGTGATGATGGTGATGGTGTCCGGTCGATGAACCATCGCCACTGGCTGCGTCGTCGTGTATGTTGACGCCAGTCAAATCGACAATTTCATCGGCGTCTTCGTCACTACCTGTTGCTGCGCTCTGCATCGACTGTTGACTGCCCGAAGACAGCTGCGAGTTACGAGAGTAGGAACCGCGTCTCGGAGCGGCCAAAGCAGCACGTTGATTCGCTGGTTTTACCGTGATAATCAGATTCGACGAGTTGGCTACCATCATATCGGTCACCTGTGATTAAAATAAAATGAAGTCAAAACAATGGTCCAACAATGCAGCGGTCGTAGATAAAGTATTGAATAGGTCACTGACAAGTGACTCATCAATTTTAGGAGCTCAACTCATTGAAGAAACTATTTTTACCTGATCTAATGTTTTGCCAGCTACTTCGATACCATTTACTTCTAAAACTTCATCATTCACTGCCAATAGACCAGTGCCTTCAGCTAATCCTCCTGGCACAAGTCTGCTTATGAATACACCAGGAACTTTTTCTATACCTCCTCCTGGACCTACTCGATAGCTCTCTCCATCTTTGATATAAAATCCAAGTGGTTTGTCCAAACCGTGCTTCAAAAGTTTAACACGTCGACAAGTTTCAGGTAATATATCTACATCTATAATTGCTGATACCTAAATAAATAGAAATATTATCAATTAGGAAAAATTACCATAAAATAGAGATTTTTTATTTAAAAATTAGATCAGTAATAAGAGAATTGCAACAAAATTCAAATTTGAAATAAATTTGACAACAAAGTGTCAAATTCATTAACGGCATATGAATATTTTATGAGCTATGTAAAGAATATTGATGAACTCATTAATATAACAGGTTGTTGAATTCATATTCAACGCACATTGTTTTCTATAGAGTAATAATGATCATACCAGGTGAGTCATCATATTGAATGCATAATTCTAATAGAGAAACCAATATAAAAGGATATAAATTATTAATCGTGCACATCTAACCTGACGAAAATCATGAGGATTTGATATAGCAAGTGGTTTAGGCTTTCCGGGTGTGCCTCCCAATATACTAGATATAAGATTCTTAGGCTTTAGTGTATTGTATCCATTGATATCTTCCAGACCATCTCCTAAAAATTTTAAGATAGGAATTTATAACAGCATCAATGGCAAATTGAATAAAGAATAAATAAACCAAGCAATACCCTGTCTTTGGATAAGAATTCTCAACAGGGGTTTAGCAGCAACAAGTGCCCTAGCCAAATTATTATCATTGTTGATAGGCAGTAGATCTCCATCGGTGGGGTCTGTATACCATATATCAAATCCCATTTCAGGTGGTATGTCATGCTCCTGGGCAAGAAGTTTCCTAAATTCCTCATAGCTGGTGGACGTCCAAGACGAGGTGGAAAAACGAATGATATCGGCATCGAACTGCGGATACAAAAATGAATCATAAGTATCAGGTATGGAATGTGACGGACGAGTCGCGCGAATAATAATTGCAGCAACTCTCGATGACTCGCCTTGCTCTTAACAGCAACGATATTGCTGTTGACGTTGGCGTGGTGGTGCGGCTTGTGTGTGGACATGTTTTTCTTTTTATTTTATTTTATTTTATTTTTCAGTCGAGGAGGTGCTGCTCGCGGGCGAGATCGAGTGGACACTTGTAAAGTCACTTGTACATGCACACGCACACACACAATTCGCGCACAGGTAGAGCGATATACACACACAGGCAGCTGGATAAGGCAGTCGCTCGTAGTGAAAATTGGAGCAACACACACTGGGTGATGTACACACGCGCAGCACACGAGTTTCGGGACGAAGGAGCAGAAGAAGGCGCCTAGGTGTTTTTATCGCGTCTCCTTGTTTTGACTTATGGTATTAGGATATACAAACTACCGACACTCGATGCTAATACGCTAAAATGCATGGCCTACTGCACATTATAGTGCGAGTACTCATCAAGTGCTGTACTGACACATTACCTTACTGCTATGTGTGCGGCTGCCATCAACAGGCGTGCGCGCGCCTGCGCACAATCATACCATAGTCGACTCCAATTGTCCATTTGTCCATTTGTCGGAGGCAATTAAATATTAGTAAAAGAGTTTTGAATTGTTCAAGAATGATGATATAGGCGAATCGACGCTCGAAACTACATCGATAATCGACGATAGCCGATAAGACTGGGTAATGGTTTTTTAATAGCTTGCGCGGAGCGTCGAGTCATCGAAACATGACGATTATTTGTATTGTACATTGTAGATTCGATAAGAATGTAGTTGATAAAGTGCACTTTCTAGAAAGTATGGGAAAGTCTTGCGAGCCAACATGGTCAGAATCGACTAGCGATATTTTTTCTGCACCAACGTCACGTATACTCTTGATAAGCCCCACACTTTTCCACTGCAATGCGCTGGTAAAATTTTCCTCCAATCAGAGGCATTTTATCGACCGAAAATTTTAAAAGTTACAATTCTTTGACCATAAAATGTCGAAAGTCCCAAAAGGTTGTCAAGGTCGCGCGGGTAAACTTTCGCGGTCGAACATTTAAACGGATGCGTTAACGTCTGCGCGATGACAGGTCGTCGTCGCGAGTCATCGGGAGCTGCGAGTTGACTTTTTCGAGGCTTTATTTTACACACAGTCCCGCGGTTATGATTGTAGACATTTCCAAATTATCACAAGTATACATTGTAAAATCGTTTCGCAAGTGAATGTGTTGAGCAAAATTGTTACCCCAGGAGCTGCAATATCGCAGCTTGCAAAGTTTCTCTCCGCTGCTGATCTCAATGTACGTAATACAAAATGATTTAGAGTTTTTGTGGTCAGTTTTTCAGACGTATTCTAACCTTTTCTTTGACATTCGACGCAAATCCGCAACGGTTCTAGCAGTCGATATCTCGCGGCTCTCGTCGCAGTAGGAAGCGCGATTATGATAATAATCAAAACTCGCTTTGCAGCTTTTCCCGTAAACAGACGTGTGATCGAGGAAAATTTTTTATCTCTATCGCGCTGAAAAACTAGTGTGACACTGAAAAATAAGTCATCAAGAATCGTCACGGTATAATGCGTGTGCTCGAAACTCCACTCCAGCCATATATTTTTATCGTTTTTTATTAATGTATCCGTTCACGATCCAATTATAGACCCGCGCGTAGTATAGATATCGTATGCTGCATTACGTGTTATTGTGTACTCTATATACTCGTCGCACGAACCGAATGACAATATACGAGAAAGCTTACGTAATGCGTTTATTCTCGCGCTAAAATGCCTCGGGGCGGTATTCTTGGCCGATTTTCAAATGTTCCAACAATCGACAATTTCTCCTTTTTTTTTCCTCCACGCGAACACTCGAGAAACGATTTAGCGAAATGCAAATTCTGAAAAATTACACTTGCGAATCTCGCAAACGTCACCTATTGCGTGTTTCGTCATAATCGCAATAATTATCCTCTGTAATCGTTCCAGAAAACCGACCGGCTGTTGCAGCAGCGGCACCACCACGTGCACCCGGAAATCGGTGATATAAACGCGCGATCATGACCGGTCTCGACGACGAATTTCACAAGAGGCGCGAGGAGAGGCAGCGCATCAGCGAACAGAAGAGGGAGGCTCAGAGAAAAGCCAACAGATACGGCCAGGAGTCGGACAATCCTTGCCTCAAGGAAAAACAGCTCTCCTTCGACTGCATGGCCAGATGCAATCAGCAAAACTACGAGAAGGAGTGCGAGGTGTTCTTTGTGAATTATAAAAATTGCAGGAATTTTTGGGTACGTGATGATGATTCGTGACTATTAAGTATGAGAAAACTTGACGCTTCGCATGAGTTTGTAAAATTTTCTATTTTATTGCAGTCTTCGGTGGAGAAACAACGCAAATGGCAGGGCATCGAGCCAAATATGCCACCGCCCGAGGAACGAGAGAAGATAAGAGCCGAATTTATGGGAAAACTACACAATAAAAGCTAATTATAGACGACGGCGACGAGCGCATTTTCACTTGTATAAAATGTAAATAATATCTGTATAGAGAAGCTTGCACATTGGACTCGTTATTTCCATTGTTATCAATAATAAAGACGATTATTTTTATAGTTTTGTAAAATTTTTCATATATTTTTACACAACTGATCGTTTATCCGTACGCATAGGTTTGCTTCGTTATACATAAATGCTTTTCATTATAAATAATAGTTAATTATTTTATGTGATAACGTTAATTAGAAACGCCATCTTAATAATATGACATTGAAGACACATTTTGATGATGCAATTTTTTTCCTCAAAACTCGTACCTTTTACTACTATAACACTCGTGTTTACAACTGCACTGATAAGATGACACATATAAAACTATCTCTGGCTCTTTTTATTCTTGCAAAATATGCGCGCATATATTATTCCTCATTTTGAGGGATAATAAATTGACATGGTTGCTTTTGTGATATTCTGTGTACAGTAGCTGTGTAGCAAGTCGTGCTTCGTCGGAACGACACCCACAAAAAAATACACCGATTTATCTGCTATCTTATTTCTAACGTTTCAAACTTGATCAATACAGCATTTTATTAATAAGCGTAATTTTTTTTCGTAAGTTTACAGTAAAACGACTGATAGTCATTCGGAGCTTAAAGTAAATAAAGAATTGTGTACATGTATTATCGTTCCGGTGATAGGGATCCGCGCTCTAGCGGGATTCGTCACCGCACCGAATTTTTGCACGTAATATTTCTTTCGTGTAAAAAAACCAGTTTTACATCATTTTTTGATCATAACACGGTTTACATATCTACAACGTGTGTATTAATATATGGCACAGTGTGCACTAAAAATTATAAATAATTCATATTTTATCCATTTGTACACTTTTTTTATGTACTAGTTACGTGATGCAGCATTCTTACAATCAATATGTTCTACACCTGATTCGAAATTGTTATTTTCAATGCTCATTAATATTCACAATTAAAACGCGATTACCAAGGACTTACTTACTTTTCATTCATCATTGTTTTTCCAAAAGTTAAAATCCCTTGTTATTAATAAATTAATTAATGAAAAGTGTGTAAGTCGCGAATTTCATTTAAATTTGTTATCAATGAAGATATACTATAATTACATTATATAATTAAATCGAAAAATGAAGAAAATAAAGAACCTAAAGAATCTAAAAATAGTTGTTCTGTAATCGTCTAAAGTAACATACAATTACAATCATGATTACGTCTTTACAAACGCGCGATGATGCAGCTTTACACAAAATATACAATTTACACAATGGAAATCAAAGTATAATCTTAGATGACTAGAGAAAGAGAGATAATAGAGAATAATCGAGATAATACCTCGTATTATATTTTTCGGACAAAGTGTTAGTTATGAAAAATTCGTCCCTCATCAAAGTTTATACTTCTTTCCTGGAATATTTTTGACATTTTTATATTTGACAAAAAATACTTTTTGGTAAAAATTTTTAGTTGTACACAATAACGACCTTCTCGTTAATGTATATCACATATATTTGAATACAACCTGAAGATTCTTGAAGTATGATTTAAAAAATTATCTAGCTAGCTACCGAAAAATAGGGCTCATAGCTTTTCTTACGATCGGTATTGGTAAATTTAATTCATTAGACTAAAATGTAAGCAATTCGAAATACGAAAAAAAGGCAAGAAGTTCATGGTACTTAAAGATTTTTGCAGAAGGTGCAAAATATGCAGCTATATAATTCAATGGCTGCTTGTCATAAGTTAATATCCGAGAGACAATACATGATTAAAACGAAGAGGTGCGCAGCACACAAAAGTGATGGATATTAAAACCAAGCTTATAACATTTTTAAGTGTAAAACCATTACCTTATACTTTCGAAAGTTCATTACTCTAAGGAAAAAAGTGCTACCACTGAATGGAAACTCTTACTATTTTTTGGTGAACATTTGACTCGAGTACAGACATAAATGAGTACATTAGACTCGCATTGATTCTGATGCAAACAATCACAATCTGAATCACATTATATTGAGCAGTAGCAAGATAAGAATATTAAATAGCGATCTCAGGCTTATTTTAAATTAGAACAGACTGGAGTGAAATTCACACGAAATTTACTACCAAATTGGATATGCTGCCATGAGGTGTCCTTTAAAAAGGATTATTAATTAGAATGGAGAAAAATTGTAAAAAAAATATACCTTTTTTCCCTATACACACTAAACTATGCTATCATGAAATGCATCAGATCTTTACTGGCTTAAGTTTTCTTTTCTCGCACACCTATCATACATATATGTTATCAGTTTTTTCTTCGTTTTTTTAGCATGTATCATCAGCAAGCAGTCAATCAGAATTACTTTTTATTCTAAATGCATTTATCTTGAAATGACGACACATCTGACGTACCTACAAAAAATTAATTTATCTCTTTAATAAACTACTCAAAGCACTGATTGATTTAAAATGTAGAGTATAGCTCGTAAATAATGAGTACTTACAACACATGTACCATAATGCACATGAGATACCAAAGCAACAGCTGCTAATAAGTACATCAATATCAGATCTAAATTTGGTACTGCCCATGCCATAATTGCTGCTCCAGCAGCAGGGAATAATATCCATGGCACAATTTCACACCTAGTATTACTCATTTGTGATACTATTAAACGACACTATAAAATAAAACACAATGTTAGAACACTGATTTTGATTACTCATAATTATCATTTTAAAAATTCATTCACTCACACAAATATTTGAAAATATTGTTCCAACTGCCATATAAATTATTCTTGGATCTCTTTCAATTATTTTACTAGGAGAATACACTACCCATGGTGTAGCTATGACAAACAATAATGCTAGGGGTATCAATGGTCTGATTGCTTCTGGGAATGTTTTCATTTTTCCAGTTTTATCTCTGTATGACCTATTATTTGTACATAAAATTTAAATTACACGTGGTTCAGAAACATAGTATTTGATAAAAGTCAACTTACTTATAAATGTTCCACAATACAACTGGTACATTAGACACTAGAGCACTCACATAAATAAGTAATTCAAAGAGTGAACCTGCTGAGTATCCTCCAGGTAAATCAAATTTCCATGAAGAATGTCCACCAATGCTAGTAAAGAAGAAAACTACAACAGTTGCCACCATCGACAAATCATATCCCCATGGCAAAAAGAGTACACCAGTGTTATATTTTTCCCAATGACTGAGATAAAAGTTTATAAACACATTCCATAGAATGAAGTACATTCTTATGGGTGAAACGCTGTGTTCAGTTCTACCAAACACAGAGTACATACAACTAGTAATTAACATGGTAGTCCAGCTATCAAGTCCATGATCAAATAATTCACCTAAAGGACTAGAAGTTTGAGTTCTTCTGGCTTGTTTACCATCTATGCCATCTATAAATAAAAATATTTGTTAATCTTTTTTGCGCATGTATAACGATGCAAATACTATATGAATTAGAAACTTACCAAGAGTATATGCCATAAAAATATTGAATGCAGCTAAGGCAAATGCAGCCCTAGGTATAAGAGCATACTGCGGCATATCATCACTGGATGCAAAGAAGTAATAATCGTAATATGTGAACATGGCAAAATTTAGAACTGTGAATAGGAAACCCGAGAAGGTGAGTAAATTTGGAGCAACCCATTTTGGACAATACTGCAAAGAAATAGAGAAACGAATTATAAAGAGAGCTTTGTTTACTTGTAAAAATAGATGAAACACAAAGTATTTCCAATTAACTTACCTCAACAACTCTATTCCAAAAAGGATGCATCACATAAATACTCAGTGGGCTGGTGTCCAAGCAGCTGTACTGTAATCACGAGAATTGAACAAATATAAGAGATTGATTATAATAGAACATGACAAATTCTAAAACAATTCGCACGAATGACACAATTAGCGGATGTATTAGATAAATATTGAAGCGAGCTAGACGATTGTGTCGAATCGAGCCCGATCTAGGAATTATAAATTGTTGAGTGCATACAATGAGCAAGCGTTTTACCTTGTAATGCTCGAAGCCAGCAAGATGCTCCTGCGAGAGGTATTCCGCTTCAAGCCGCATCTTCATTTTTCTGTTTATTATAACTTGACAACAATCTTGAATGAAAAAAAGGGAAAATAGGGGGCAAAGCAAGCCGAGATTCGAGGCTGATATGTAAATTTTGCCCGACTATGCGAGCGTGTGCGTGCGATTATAGTTTTACTGCTGCTGGCTGTTCTAAATCTCGTCCATAGTAGTCGTTATACGGCACACACGGGTCGTCGTCGACGTTCGTAGTCGTCGTCGTCGTCGTCGTAGCGGAATAGTGCGGCGCGTACTGATATAACCAAAGCAACCGTCTCGTCGTGCAGCCAGGCCGCAACGTTTTCTTGCCTATATGTGTTACTCATGCGTTTCTACCCACACTCACACGGGCACATAACAGTCACACAACACACCACGAGACACACCACGACAGCAAAGGCGCACAGCCCAACACACGCTACACTATATTTCGCGAGGCCCGCGCGACTTTGTAAAGCTTGATAGGATAGGAGTCGCGGGAGTTGCACGACCAAATGCGTGCGCGCCTGGGGACGATACACGCGCACAAATGTAGCACGACGAGCCGCCAATATTTCGCTACTACTGCTGCTGCTGATACTCTGGCTTCCTCACTCATATTATGCTCGCAGCATATAGGCAACGGCTCCCACCAGTTATCATCATGTGCACAAGTATATGTTGCTGTGTTGTAAGCGCTTTTAATAGGTGTTATATTGGCAGACGAGCGAGCGAGCATCTAGTCATCGTCGTCGTCGTCGTCGCATTCTCTCGGAATTATACGCGCGACGACGTCTGCGACGCGACGACTATGGATTTATTGTAGTTTTTCGAGCGATGCCTCGCAACAGCTTAAAAATAACAACTCGCGTGCGCTCGGGGAACAATGACGATATAGGTATATATGTTATTTCCGATCCGATGATATATCGTTGACGCCCGCACGCGCTCACCTCAGTCTTATCGAAATCTAATCTCCTTTTTCCGTAACGTGTGTGTGTACTATACATTATCTTACAGGTGCCAAGGCTCTCGCGTGTAATGGAATTGACCTTTATCGCGATGGGCCGCGGAGAAACTATATGCGTCCTTGGTATTTTCTCGTCTCGGAGAAATTTAAATTACTAATTGGTATTTACCCAATTAAAACGTCATACTGTGTTTTTATTCAAGGTTTTGCAAGAAAACTTGCGAAAATCTTTTGAAAATTCTGAATATCAATTACTTTAATTCTGGAATAGTATTTCTGCTATTTAGGTGAAATAAAAAAAGATATCAAAAGTTAGCGCTATAATTAATTTATCATGCTGTCAGCGATCTGCGTAAAATATATTTTGATCTCATCTTGTGCCATTCAATAAAATTAATCATATGTATTTAAACGTATTTTAAATAAGCCCGCTTGACTGACATCAATATCTTCTGCTCCGAAATAACGTCAGCGAACGTGAGCGTGAGGTTATCGTCTGCGTTCACGCTGATCGTCGGTGTATTTACTCATTCACGCGATCTTCGTAACTCGCATCTCGCGAGCTATCAATTAAATAATATATCAATAATGTCGTCGGTTTATCGAGTAGCCGCGTTCAGCAAATTGTTGAGCAGATGTGCCTCGTCGTCGAATTGTCATAAACTATTGCCCACAGTGTGTTACGTCAATAATGCAAACCATAAGGTTAGATTGAACAGAATGACAATGTTGCATAAACAATGCTACCAAGTTGTCTATACACTATACAACTGTGCCATAGATTTAATTTAATTTAAAAAATGCATGATTTTGATTGTCATTTATTTTGTATCTAGATTCACGTGGTCAAGTTTTCTGTGCCTTTGAGTAGAAGTTACTCTACCAAAAGTGATCAAAATAAAGCTGCTGCTGACAAGGAAGATGAAAGTGAATGTGAAATTGTGTACATGGGTCAACAAAACAAAAATATCAAAAACATCAAAATGATATCGCTGTCTACTTCACTCATGGGATTATCAGTACAACCAATTGTTTACCAAAAAGCAGTTCTAAGTGGCGAAGTAACCAACTTTACCTTACCAATATTTGCTCTGCTAGGCCTTTTTGCATTGGCAACTCCACCACTGTTGAATTTAATTACCAAACGATATATATTGAGCATTGAGTACTATCCAAAGAGGGATAAATACGTCGCTTCAGTTTATACCCTGTTTGCCAGACAGAAAAAGGTAGCTTTTTATTCTACCACAGTAAAATTAACTTCATTTTTACATTAATTCATTATGATTTTTTAGATTGAATTTACTCCTGATGATGTGACTATTCCTACCGTTCTTGGAATGTTTACTAATTGTTGCATAAAAGGCAAACCCATGTTTATGGATTCAAACTCTTTCTCAGAAGAAAATCAGAAACATTATGTTAGAATAATGGGCTATGATCAACCACTAGACTTAAAACTAGATGAAACTATACCAGACACAAAGAAGAGCTCAGAAAAAACATAACTCAGAAATTTTTCATTTACTGTACACTTTTTATTATGAATAGATTTTTTATTACCTTAACAATATTTATTAATTAAATAAAATGTATGTACATATTTAGTTCATGAATATAAAAAAAACATAGTCTAAAATTAATTAAAATAACTCAAGAAGATGAATGGAAATTTGGAAGATTCTTGATAATATACTGGCATATATTACTTTCCAAAAGTATGGTCAACTAATTTAAAAATTGTCTTGAAAAGATTTTACAAATATAAGTGATGAAGAACAAAAAATAATGTAAAATAAACCATATTTTCAGGCATTAAAAATTTCAGAAACACAGTCCATTAGTTAATCACATTAATAACTACTGATTTAAAGGCAATTCTTAACATGAGTTATCCATTCATTTCTAGATCACAGACGACAAATTTTTCTTTTTCCTAGGTACTTTGAGATAGAATAATCTGTACCTAGTCACGAAAATTTTTACAAAGTAGCTTAAGCTGGTAGTAAATCAAAATCATCTGAAACTGGTACATTTGGTACGTGGGTTTCATCAATTTGAGGTTTGCCTTTAGCTTCACACAATCCTACCTCTTTCAATTTCCATTCCCAATCTAATTTTTGTATAGCATGCAGAGAATCTGCCTCTTGATGGTGTCTAAGTAACATTCCTTCCTAAAATCAAAATATTATTTTAAATTATTGTCAACAATTTTTTTTTAAATTAAACTCGTAAAAGTTCTTACTTTAATTTTCTCCCATTTATCATCTACATCTTGAAGCCAACTTAAAAAAAGTCTACCATTGTACCTACTCCTAGCATTTCTATCCTTCTCTTCTTGCTCTGGTGTAATAACATTATATACTTCTTCATCTTTAAGTATCGTACAAAGAGAAAAAGGTCTTGACTGATTTGCAAGAGCTCTGGCTGCCCTTCCATGCACCCTCAAAATCTCTTGCTCAACAGCCAAAACTAATTTTTCTTTTTCAACGACGTGTGCCATTCTCAAGTCATATCTTTCTTGTTCTTGCTGTGTGTATAAATCTTTCATAGCTGCTGGAACACTAGCTGGAATTGTTACTGTTGGTTCCTCTTTAGTGTTACGAGCTAAAACGTATGTACAACGGTTCATAAGATAATCCTTGAAACCGGAGGGTGGCTTAGGCTGTACTGGAAACAAGCTCTTTCTTCGACGCTCAATCTGTAAATAAAATTTCAAGCGGTTCATATACTTTTTTCATATTAAGAATAAGTTGAGATTCATTACGTTATAAAATGTTTACCTGTTTTCTTATATTTATGAATAACTGTATACAATTCGTTATAGGCTGATCATGCGGGTGAACTTCAGATCCAGTACTTGCTGCCTCAGCAATATCAGACGCAGCAGCAGCTACGGCCGCAGCAGTGTTTGCCTGTTGAGCTTCTTTGTTAGTCTTCATTTTTCTCTTCCGTGGGTGCAGCTCGACCGAAGTTTGTACGTTTGCACCTGCTTCGCCTGGTTCTTTTTTGATGGTTACCTCGGACGAATCGATTGGTTCCTTTTTCATTTCTACGCTCTTATCGCTTTTATCTGTAGAATTGCTCCCTGTAGCAGCGCTGTTACTATTTTTAATAGTTGTACCAAGAGAATCTGTCAACATAGTTTTACTAATTGTAGAGCTTTCAGTACTACTTTCCGGAGTAGGTGAATGATGCCTCTGTTGTGGCGAAGAGTTATTCGATCTATCAGTTGAAGCACACGGCAAAGGAGAAGATGTAAAATAACCCCCATTATTATTCTGTGAATTACCATTACCATTGCCCGCCTTATGAGAACTTCTCAATACTCTCTGATGATGTATGGATGACCTGGACTCATCAAGAACCCCGCTAAAATCTTTTTTTTCATCACCTTTAAGTCCAGCGTTACTGCTGGTATCCATAGGACTTCCGGCATTACTCAATTCTTTGTCCGTAGAATCGTTACTGTTTGAAGTCGCAACAACATAAGGAAGCTGGTGACTCCTATTGGACGTATTTTTACCATTGCGATTACCTTGCTCTTGTTCAGAAGTAGTGCTTTGGGGTATAACAATTTTTAATGGTGGCACCTTTGGTCCACATCCATTATCTGCATTTTTGGATTTGTCGTCTTCTCCATCTGACTCAGGAGTCATGTTAACTAAAAAAACACAATTTTCACATTAATACTACTTCGTTCAATTAATAACTTTTAGAATAACGATGAGTTTTTATGTTAAGGAAATAATCGTACCCAATGATGATTTTGGACTATTTGCAGTAAAAGAGCTTGGACTTCTATGATCTCCAGATCCAAATGTAGTAGAGGCTTGATTAGGCTTAGATATAGGGTTATTCATGTTATTTGTTGATGTAGCTCGTTTCTGCGAAAAAATGAAATGAGTTAGATATTTGATAAGATAATAAATTAGATAAAAAAATAAGAAAACAAGATTAAATAATGAAAATAATTGTTAGCAGATGTAAAAATGTGATCACTTCAATTACAGTTACAATTAAAAGTAAATCCGTTTGAGTTTTAATGCTCTTATAATAATCAAGAACATGAATAACAAGCAGCAATACTTGTAACAATACTTCTATTGATAAAACTAAACAGAAGTAACCTTCATCTAACCTTTTCATTTACGGCGGGATTGTTTCTGTTGACAGTCTGATTTCTTCCAGCAGCTCCTTTCACGGTAGAAGTCTCTTTTCCAGTATCATCCTTTTTCTTACGCTTACGGGTTTCTTCATCTTGATCATCAGTTGAAACTGGATCATTTTCATAACTTCTTTTATTTGAAGACGGAGCAATAGAAGAAGATGGAGACGCCGTAGATGATAATACATTTTCATCTATCTGCATAGCACTTGATGTTGAGGATGTCATTGAATCTGCTGAAGGGTTGCTTACTGTGATCAATGATGATGTCGTCGAAGATGAACCCGCAGCAGAGACTGTTGACGTTATAGTTGTTGATGTTGCAGATGAATTTGAATTAGTGAGCCCTGTTATAAATTTAGATTAACATTTAGTTTAATTATTTGTAGCAATTAAATAATCAACAAAAATATGAGCAATTTGTACCTAGAGAAGTGTTTCCAACATTAGCACCACTGCTTTGACTTTGACCAGTACTACTGGTACTACCAGCAGGATTTGATGAAGTTGAAACAGATGCAGATGCAATGTTACTATCTTTAGCATCTTTTTCATTAGGATTTGGATTAGGCGATGTACTGGAACCTCTTACAGGGGTGGCTTCTTTAGAAGATTTAAATTCATAAACATCACTGGCATCTGCTGATGAAGAAGACGATGAAGTATTGCCCTTGGCTAATGCCGCTGGAGCTGCACTTGCATTTGATGATTTTGTTGTTGACGATGAGGATGATACAGTCTCCATCTCTTTAGAATTCTACACATAAATAAGCACAAAACCCAATGAAATAACTTGCATTTCTGATAAAGCGTTTATTTTAAGAATGTTTTTTTTAATGATACCAGTACACTAAAGGTAATTATTTGCCTTCTGTAATAGAAAGCAAGATATGCAATTTACAAGCCGCTAAGGACAAAAAATTATATACAGGCTTAAGCCATAATATTCCAATTTTACACATATCTAGTACTTTTAATTTATTCAACAATAATAAGTTTTTATTATTATTTAAAGTTTTCACATTCATAACAATTTAGGTTGGAAGCACTAAAGTTATTAGTTGAGTAGTACATATACATAGTAGTTAAGTAATAAACGTTTTGTATGATAGTTAAACCAAAAATGATTGAATGTGAATATCAATTTTACTGTCATACCACATAAAAACGTGTTGATTCCTTTTGTAAAACAACCAATCAATCACTCACACTATTATAATGCATTTGAAATATACAACAACCGTTGAGTGATTTTTTTCAAATCCCATTAAGTTTATCGTTCAAGAAGAAAGTGGAAAACATTTAAAACTTACGTGTGAAGTGGACGTCGATGATATGCTTACTGCCGCAGCGTTGGACGTACTGATGCGTTGCTGTTGTTGCTGCTGAGATGGCGTCGCCGTACTACTGCTCTGCTGTTGGGCTGATGTGGCGCTTGACTTTTTATTATCATCCCTCGCGCTCTGGCGCATGGGATTCAGCCTCAGGGTTACACGGCCACCGTTAGTAGACCCTTGCTGCTGTTGCTGTGACTGCTGCTGACCGATCGTTTGTCTGTCGCTGCTACCTGCGAGTACGCAGCGAGACGAAAAAACGCGATTACAGATAGTGAGCAAGCACACTACGTGGTCGTTAACCTACACGCACAACTGTCTACACTACACAGATAGAGCTTCGGTGCGTGCTTCGCGAGCAGTGTATACTGCATGAGAGAGTGTAGAGTAGCGTAGCATTCGCTTATTCACACTGTGCATCAGAAATCTCATCTTGTCTCTTTCTTTCTCGTCCCCTCTCTACTACTTTCACGCCCCTCCACCTCAGGCACCGAAGACGTGAATTTCGTCTTTTATATCTCGTGAATATAGAGCGAGGTGCATGAGATTATCAAAACAACCAATTTTAACGCGTGATTAGCTCGATGAGTATTTAATTGTAAACAAAAAAAATCGATCTCGCGTTTGACAGACAAAAATTCTCTTCGAGAATACATATTTTATGAAATGAAATTAAGCGAACGTTTAAACGCACAATAAGTACATTAAGATGCTACGTACGAGTCAGAGGCAACAAGCGCAGCAGGCTGCACGAGCAGCCAATTTACATAACACTTGAAAAATGCTCACTTCTACTTTGCGGCGGTGTCCTTCGCATCGCCGTGGTGAGGGCGGCAGCCTCGTCCGATTGAATCTGTTGCTGCCTCGAGTGATGACTCTGCGAAGACGACTCGCCTCCTGCACCGCTGCCGATGATCTCCTTATCGCATGCCAGATTACTGCTGCTACTACTACTGGAGCTAGATGCAGTAGAGGCAACGGTTGTGGTAGCGGTGGCGGCGACAGGAGCAGTTACAACATGAGAACTAGCAGTAGAAGCGACAGTAGCAGCAGCCGCCACCGCCGCAGCAGCAGCAGTAGTCGCGCTATTGTTGGAGGCAGCAGCGGACTCGGCCGGCGAACCGGCGGCTAGTGGACTCTCGGCGCGACTCGCCTGCCTGATGGTCTCCTCGACGTCCGCCGTTGACGAGCTCGAACCAGCGAACTCTGGAAAAACGATAAGCCGGAATTTATCATCAACGCCGATGATTCAACCTTTTCGAAACGACGAGCTGAATTCGAGCGAGACTCGACGTTTGACGGCAAAAATCGGGTCGACGCCCATTACGTCTGGGAGCAACGACTTGCAGTATTATAGACGAACATATTCAGCAGCTTGCATTTTTACACGCTCGAAACTGTAACTCGACGTTCGCCAGCATCGCCTGCAGCAAGGCGGCGTCATCTGGTGGTAGTCTTCCCCGAGCGAGAACGGCGAACGACCGACAGAACAACAAATTATGCTCTTTTAACAATCGATTTGAATTTCATTACTTCAAAAATCATTTGCTTCACTTTCTCACTTTAAAATATCTGAGAATTTTTTATTTGTTTAACGATTCAAAGCGTTCAATTAAATAATTAATAAAAGGATATAATAGTTTTTTCTCATTAAATCGAATTTCCCATTGCTCTTTTGAAAATTAAGATCAATAATAATCTTACCATTTCTTCTCCTCTGATTCTGCAAAGGTGACGCACGCGTATTACTTGAAGTCGAAGCTGTGGTACTCTCATTTGAATTGTTCAAAGCTGAAAAAAAAGAAATTGCATTTTGTCAAATCCAAGCAATGTCGATCTAAATTTGTTTACATATTGAAAAAAAGCCACTGAAAAACAATGTACGATTAGAGACAAAGCGAGGGAACAGGACGATGGTTACATTCACATGATCGTTTCACCAAAGGGTACGATCAAAAATGTATTATTTGACTGATGAGAATGGTGATCACATTGACATACATAATATAACATAAACATGTTTGGAGCAATGTTCGAGCGATCGCGGCACATGTGGCTTTGTTTTGGTTCGTTGCAGGTCCCTCTCACACACATTCTATTGGAGACAGACGACACGCACAACGCACCTACATATATACAGACACACACAAACAGCATGGCATATAATGGCACTGACACATGAGGTGTCGCATTTGCTCGGGTTCCCGACTTTATATCCCTCGAACTACAATATAAGAAAAAACAAAAAAAAATTACAATGATTCGCTAAATATTCACAAACATCCTGTACGTGATTCTCATTCTTCACCGTTATAACTATACCATCTTCTGTTTTAGAACTGGTATACACTCTGCACGTACACTGAAAACCGTAAGCAACACAACGCCAAACTACATAATCACGATAGCACGTGGACATAGTGAATAAGTAATTATTGTAAACAAGGGAAGGATGTGTTCGGAGGTTTGGAATTAATTTCAACCCCATTTTTACACTAACACGCTACTACACAATACGAGCCACAGAACACAAATGAGCGTACAGTCACGAGAGACAACATAAACTGGTATAAATAAGCTGCTGTAGGGCGCGAACTGAGATCACATTTAATATACACACACCAGAGCGCGTGAAAATTTGTCGAGATTAATCAGTCGCCAAGGTGAATGGTCGGGATTGAGTCGCCGTTGGATAAACAGACCGGAACCCCACGTGCCATCGTACAACCGTCGATGCAGCTATCGATATAGAGAAATTATATTATCCCGGCCTGGATTTTCAATTTTATCGTGGTTCTTCAATAATAGCCATAGGAATTGTTTGGTAGCGCCTAATTTTTCTGCAATTGCAGCTAGCTGTAACTCCGCTAAAGAATCGTACCAATCTAGCAATACCTTTAATTCGAGTATAAGGTTCACACGGTCCTCTGCCGATTTAAATTCATCAGCATTTTAATCCGCTTGGCTGAACTGTATTATTTATTCCAAAATGTATAGGCTGTCAATAACAATAGTTGTTGACTTGGCCCACAAGCGGTGGAAATTCGATGTGTATAAAGACAGAAGGAAATCGGGACCAGCGATTTTGATAACGTTGAAGCGAGATCATAGTTAGCGGTGGCTACTGCATAATCCACGCAAACGGCGCGGTGCATTTTGTTACGCTATACGTTATTACGATGTTGTGCCTATGTGCAATGCCACAACAATCGCTCGCTAGAAAATGTTCCGAGGCATGCAAGGCAGCAGGTATAGCTGCCAACTGAGCGCATCATTTACAGAACAGGCGCGTTTGTTTGTTTGTTTGTTTGTTTGGGTCTTACCTGATGTCATCTCCTGAGAAGTCATCTGCAGGATGAGGGCCAGTTGCTGGCGCTCGGACATCCGAGCCGGATAAGCGCGGAAACGACTGTTACCGCTGGCAGGCATACCGCGGCCTCCTCATAACACGCAGCAACAATCGAAAGGATCGCCTTCGAAAAACGAAAACGCGTCGGAGATCCGCGTGCGAGTTGTTGTTTACTTTTTTTTGGCACGTTCCGCTTTCTATACACAGTGTTTTCAGGCCGGAGCAGAAGAAGTGAAAGACGTGCTGCAGCCTGCACTGTATATACACTCACACAGGCGCGCACGTATACACGATACCACAACAGTCCGTACCCTGCTCCTGCATAATATTTGCGCGCCGTTGGCGATGCTATGCACTATACAGCACTATAATGTGTTGTGACCGCTGCTGCTGCTGCTGCTGCACACTATATCTAGTGTCACTGTCTGTCTATATGCGCGTGCGATTGGTAAACACAAGTTGGTCGAGAGATTGCACGCGAGGCGGCTAAGCTGATGGCGCAGCTAGCACAATAATAGCGTGTGTCGCGCGGGTACGGAGTGCGTCACGCTGACGCTCGACGACGATGCTGCCATGCGATCGCTGCCGCGCGACTTACCCGCACACGATGCTCTCCGTTGCACTATGCACCTAGTCGCCGATCGCTGCAACTTTATATGGGCCCCCCAGGACGAGGATCCAACTTTATAACCTTAAAAAGGCGCGGAAAGTGCAAAACACTAGACAATGCAGCGCCATTTTGGAGGGCGCGCGAACGACGCAGAATACACTGCCTCTGTGCATATAGAGGCTGACTGCTGAGTGCTGCTGCTGCCGCCCCTCCGCTTAGCTCGTGCACTCTTGTATACTGCTGTTCGCAGCTCGCTTCTCTCTCTGTTTTCCTCTCTCTCTCTCTCTCTCTCTCTCGAGTTACGAGTCACTGAGTGCACACTGGCAGAATGACGAAACGTCGCGACGATGTTGTGTATAATAGGTATTGTAAGGCTGCTGCAACTGCGCGTCATTCATCGCGCGGGAGTCGCATGTCGTCTTTGCAATTCGCTTTGTTGTTGTCGTCGTAGTCGTCGTCGTCCCGCGAGTCGGCCGACAGAAGGATCGTTGTTGTCGTCGTTATTTTGTGCTACACGGGTCCCGGAGTTATAAAATCGGAGTCGCTCGCGTTGGGCGCGTATCTTCAGTGCACGCGCGCGAGCACAACACTGCGGATTCGCCCCCCCGCGGGCGGCCGCGCGCGCGCGTGTGCCCATTCACGCTCTTCCATGTGTGTGCGTATATGTGTGCAGTAGTCCGTGCATGTGTGCGTGCAGTCTCTGTTTTGAACATCGTCGCGCTCTATATAGGTATAGTTGCGCTCGTGCTGTCTTGTGTTGTTGGTGCAGCAGCTCCGCTGCGGGTCGCGCCGCGCGCGAGACCGATACGAGGGTGGGGGCCGGTTTATGCGCAATCATGATGCAAGCGGCGGCCAATCCGAGCAATATAAATCGCTAATTATAGCGAGGCTGCAGTTGAGCGCGCGAGATTCGAGATTGACGCGTCCCATCGTTCATGATCGCGCGCACTGCTCGTTGTAGAGGGTAGCCAACGCGCACTCAAGATCAATTATCGTGTGCTGGCTGTCGATTGCCTATTATGCTAGTATTACATGATGAAAGGTATACCTGGTTTTTCATTTCTTCTGCGTTCCAACCAACAGAAAAAGAGCTCAGTATGTCAGTTTTATTTTTCAGCCATGTGACTAAGGTACTCCTAGGAACACCGAATTCTTTAGCTATTTGGGATTTACTTTCTTTACCTAATTCAACTTTTCGTATCGCTTCTAATTTTTGCGCTATTGTGCGAAATATTTTATTTTTACTTTTACTTGACATGATGTTTAGACTAAATAGGCTACTAATGTATGTGCGTGGCTAGTGCTACAGTTGACTAAAATTCAACGCGTTTATTTTAATATGGTTGTTAGGCTTATACATAATACATACTTGCATACACATTATAGTGTAATGTAAATAACTTTTCAGTTTTTTATTTCGAATTATGATATTGATCGAATTATCGAGATAAATTAACATTAAATTTACATTGAAAACGCTAAAAACAGAGCTTGAATTCGAATTATCGAGAATTTCGAACTATCGAAGTTTTACAGTGAAATCGGCTTTATTTGGACCAGATCGACTTTGGCAGGTCTCAAAATAAAAGGTCTTACGCGTAAGATTGAAAATTTCAAAGTATAAAGTATTATCATATCTACGTATACTTATATAAATTTCAATTTTTTGAATTATCAGTCTGAACTCCTTTGCTCGTAGAAACATTATTGTACTTTCGACCCGACACTCGGGAAACCACGTTCGTATTGCAAGATACAACTGTTGCCAGAAATAATTGTCTGTCGTAAGTTGTGAGTTATTGAATCGCTTTAAAACATTGTCTCGAGCGACTCCTCTTTCGATGTTTCGTAGTGTAGCGATTATCCTTTCTCTCGATATGTTTGCCGTTTTATGTTGCCTCGGCATTGTAATTACTCAACTAATAACGACTACTTCCTACAAAATCAGTGGGAAAACTGAGACCTAGTACTTATGGAAATAAAAATATGTAACAACAAACTTTTTTTACGATTTGAATGAATAACACGTCAAATGTACAATAAATGTTAGGTGATGTATCTATGTTAGAAAAGTTCCAAATTCTATTTGATTCAAATAAATTTATTCGAAAACCTATTTAAAAAAAAAACGGGTATATACCTGTTAAATAAATAAAACGATTAATGCCTATTAATGCTCTAACCATTCTTTATTGTTACTTTTTAATGAATTTTTCTATAAGGGCAGTCATTTTACACATACTTTTTTCGTTTCGCCTTTTGTTATGTCCAAATGATTTCTTTGTTTTTTTTACCACTTGATTATCAGTCTCGATGGGTTGACAAGTCAAATTTACGACGTTCATCAACGAAGTTATCTACAATATGTAATAATCATAATAACAACAACAACAACAACAACAATAAATCTAATGATGACGTTGATGACAATGATCATTAAAATATAACTTATAATAATAATAATAGTAATAATAATACGGTAACAATGATAAAAGAAGTAATTATAAATACAATGAAATATCCTTTTGTTCAATTTTACACATTGTTTCAGATGTATCCGTCAATTCTTTTTGTTTTTCATAAAATCGTTGCATACAAAAATGATGGATATATTTTTTTTGTACATATAACGAAGTGTGCTTACAGCATCGATGAGAGAGAAAATCTAGAATCAATGTCAAGCTAGCGGATAAGAGTCATGGGATCCATCTTCGCGGAACTACAATCCGTCGCAATTTGTTAAACATATCGCTTTTATCTCCATAAAATTCAAAATTATTACCATCTAGCTTTTATCAGCGACATTCATGAATATCACGCTGTATCATGTGTTTTTCTCATTTAACCCCGTAGCACAAGGAATAAAGAATGAGAGATCGAAGAAAGAAGAAGGGAAGATAGATCAAGCGATACATATCGTTTTTGGTGCCACATCGAATCATAAGAAATTCTTTTGGAAATGTGCACAAGTGTAGCTCGTTTTCTTTTTTCACAAATGATTAGACCAAGTTGGGCTCGCACGTGCACCCGATTTCAACAAAGTTTGCGGCGACTATCGCTCGAATATTTCGATATTTCAAATTTGAATCTGATACTACTTGATTTCGTCTGTCGCGGCGAGCCAGCTTGGGTGCATATAAGGGCGAATTTTGTGCATTCGAAGAATTAGTACAAAGAGTACGAAATTTGTTCAAATTTTTGATTTTTTTTGGTCAGTGTTGGAAGAATCACGTCTATTAATTAAACATATTGTGTATGTATGTGTGTGTATGCGTATGTGTCCGAAATGTAATAATATTTATACTTCCTCGATACTTGTTTTACATCTTACTTCCGGTTATTCATTCGAAAACATCGTCGTACACATTTATTTTAAAGATCAAATTATTTTGTATCTCATTCTTCGCTCTTTCGCCATTCATTCGTTTCACGTATGTTTTTTTGCAGCTATATAATCGATAAAATATTTCTAATGCGAATGTGTATCATTTTTTTTTTATTTTATTGTTATGACATAGTCTATTGTCTAAAGAGCTAATTTCTACTTATGTTGTAGTATTATAAGTATAATGTACGTATTTATATGAACATTGCGTTTGCTTTTTTATGTGCTTGGGTATTTTTTCTTTTCGCCACTCGATAACAACAACGATGAGGATATGAATCGATAAGTGTCGGTGTATCGACCACACGTGTGTATAACGTTACACGAAATGAAGATCAGATGGAACAATTGCATTGGATTCATACAGTTTCATTGCTCATATGCGAGCCGAGTCCTCGCTTTTCTTTAGACATATTATAATAATGCGTATACCTCGCATCGGTTGCTTCTCTGCGTCAAAAAACTAATTTTTTTATTTATTCAATCTACGAGTACTAAACGTTTGATCTAGAATCTTTAGAATTTTATGGTATTGTTTGTTCGTAAATCAATTGTGGCACAGAAATAAACTCATTGTAATCAATGTCATTTTTCACTGGCCGAAGATCTTTGTGTGTTGCAATGATATTCCACGACAAAAATTCGAAAAATTCTACTCTGTTAAGTCCTGTGAAATTCTCTACCAGTCTTTCCTTTTGTTATACAAATGTTTCTCTTACGTACATTTGTTTTTCTAGCTATTTATTTATTTTATAAGTTTTTAAACCCTGTTTACAATATCGTGTTCGTTGCTTTGTTTGATGCATTTTCTTGCACTTGATGAAAACTTTTTTAGATCTATTCTAATAGCCAACTGGTCTTGCTGCTTTTCTCGTTTCGGGAAGACTAGCAAACCGAATTCTTAAAAACGTATTTTCATCTCAGCGCAGATTCATAATAACACTTAAACTATAACGATGAAGTTCGGCAATATTTTTACGAAAATAATTTTTTTTGTTTTCCGAAAAGAAAACGATTTATTAGCTAAAGATACAAAGCATGCAATTTCTGCATTTATTATTACTCTGAACTCGTTGAGTTAATTTAACTGAAAATGAGAGAAGCCAAAATATCTCAACAGACAAATTAACTCACTTATTTTTCTTCGAAGCAATAAATTTTTCACTGTCGCTCAATGCCAATGAGACTGTATAGTAATTTTTTATGCAAGGAAACCAGTTATATAGAATATTTTTTCTCAAGTTGGTAAAAAAACGTTTTATTATCGCATCTAAATATTTTAACATATGGCAGAAATTATATAATATACCTTTGCATTCTTTTAATTTGATTTCTACTTAATATGATATATGCAATACATGTAATGAATTTATACTTTCAGGTTGATGAAAAATACAAAGAAATCGTGTTCAACCGAGGTTGGATGCATACGTTGAAATTATAATCTAGGAACATTTGCACAAATTGTCATTTACCTGCTCACGCAATCATATAAAAGATTTAAAATTCAGATGAAAATATCGAATAAACAAATACAATAGTATGTTTATGGTTGAACGTTGAGGCTGAAAGTTTTTCATGAATGCATTGAAAATCAATGAATTACTTTTAAACTTATTCATACACTTACTCATTACGACTATACATGAGACGATACACCATGATGATTTAGATTAATATTATTCATTACGAAATACTTATCATAACATACATCATCAGTTTCGTCCAAAGAATTATTACAACAGTAAGTGTATTATTTCATTTAATTTGATATTATAGTAAAGTTAGGGGCTTAAATCGCTGGAACACCTCACTTCCACATAGTATACGCATAAACATTGGTAAGGTGATTTTTACTTTTTTTACGTTCGACAGGCGGTTGAAAATTTAGATTGAATAGCTTAGGACCAGCCTAATAAATGCCAATCTACTGCTTCACGATACATGCAAAATCATGATGATACCCTTATAGTTTTCATAGTCACGTAGTACAGTTTAATTTCCATTCTTCTGTTCTAGAGTCAAAACTGAAGTAAATAAGAATCAAATTAACAACAACTCACAGAGATTCTTGTGTTGTTGATGTTATAAAAAGCGTAAACCTTTTGAACACACAATTGATACTTTTGTCGATGTAAAAAACTCAAGAAGAAAATATCTCCACGTGTATTGTTCAGGATTTTAAAATTTACACTGATGCATGGCAAATAACTACGAAAAAGTATCTTTAAAAATCGCTTGTACAATTTCAAAATTTGATCCAAGAATTTTGTTTATTCTCACGTGTACACGCTCATTAATATATACCTGAAAAATCATATTAATGGTACAATTCACGTGTCTGCGTGACCAGGATATTCATGATATAATACATTTTTAATTTAAATTTATAATATATAGATATAAAAACTTTTGTGCATGTATAACCATGCGATATTCGATAACGACGCACAAAAAAGTTTCCCGAACACTCGAATGGTATTAATGTATAGAAACTCGCTTTTCTTTCACGCTCAGCGAGGAAAAATGAAATCTTAATTGCAACTCGCCGTCATTGCGACGGTATACACAGATACAATAATAACAGTTAAATCATTCTTTCGAGCTTATTTATCGGAAACTGCGTATATACGCGTGTGCGTAACGCACAACTCGCCGCGAATGTTTAATATCATCCGACTCGAAACAATGCTCTATCCTATCTATGAACGTATCTGCCAGAGAACGATATTGTCAGAACGTCGACGGGGAGCGATCCTCGCCTCTTGACCTGGGCCGACGAGTTCGACATGTCTTCCCTCTTCAATTCGCGCTTGTTTCGCCAGGAAGAGTCGGCGTTGTCGCCGGCGCACGCGAACATCTCGGGGCCGCCACTGCTGCGCCTGCGAAGAAGCTTCTTGCTGCCCGTGCGACGGGTCTTACCCGACGCGCTGATGTTGGAACTGTTGCGGCGTAGCTCCGATATGTCGGCCGGTACCGAGCCTCGTCTCGAGGTCAGTATGGCCGTGGTGGTGCCACCCTGATCGAAAGTTATGCGCCCGAAACCGTTGTTGTTGCTTCCCGTCGCGCTGGTCGTCGTATTGTTGTTGGCGTTGTTGCTCGCGTGATGCAGGTTGTTGTTCAGAGGATACATCTCACGTTCTGCTGCAAATGGGAACGATATTTTATTGAGCCGAAAGTCGACGCTGTTACAGTAACTGCGCTATGATGTATTTTGCACTTAAAAGCTTACGTCCGGTATAAAATGATTACAATTTTCTAAACGTTATTATCAAGTCATTGCAACATACTTTGGGATAGCGATATTATTACTTAGATACAGTTGTTTATAAGAGCCTTTTTAACTGAAATTACTGGAATTTTTGTTTAAATCAGTTAAAATCGATTTACCTATAATATTCCATGAAAATTATTTGAACTATTGATCTGACTAGGGGTATGCTGTTCGAATATTTCTTTTTAAATATTACCAGAGAACAAATTTAAATACAGTCAAAACTTTTTAAAAAATTTACAACAAGAGAAAAAATTCACAAAAGGAGAGTATAAAAAAGTCTTAAGAAAAAGCTGTATCTTGGCGAAGTATTAAAATTTCTTAAAATCTAAAACTTTTGTCTTGGAAAAGTTTGAAAAATTCCATCCAAATCTGCGATATAAAACAAAATTGTATTTTAAAAATTTAATGCTTACGTAAGCCCTTAAGGCATAAGCAACGACAATGATTATTTAATATTATAAAACGCGCAGTCTCTCGCAGTAAAAAGATTTGAATAGACTCTTGACATCATGATTCAAGTCGACCTCTCGATTTTACTGCTCGTAATTTTACCAATAATCCGCGCGCACACAACTACTGCGATGTATTTTATGGGCTCGATGTATTGTATGTCTCTCGCATAAAGCTAAAACATAATTAGGTCATCTTTTTTCGCTAAATCTGTACGTACAATGTCGCTCGCCGCACACCCATTTACGCACTCTGACGTCAAAGACTTGCCGATATTTGCTGACGTCACGTTAAATTTTTTTAAATGTTCACGAACATCCGAGCTGATTTGAATGCGTTTTCACAGTAATAAAAATAATGAACGTACTCGCGCGAGCAAATTAGTCGCGAAAGAAAAAACGAGCCTGCGACGACGACAGCGACGCGTGCACGCGTAGCGCTGATTTTCATGAAAATTCCCACGAAGCAAAAGAAAGAAAAGGCAAAGCCGTGTATACAAAAGCGTCAATTTGCTTCTTTTTGCACCGCACGAAAATCGTTACCTGCAGTTAGCAAAACGAGATTGCCAATGAGATTTCCTAAGGTCATTTCGTGCGGCAGACTGGACCGTCTCTTGCTTCCGCTTATTAGCACGACGTGCTTGCTTCCACCAGAATTAAGTTTACTTGGACCGTTACGATTTACACCTGCTGCATCTGTCCATTTTAATTGTTTGAGAGGGAGAAAAACGGCAAAGTTACTTTTTTTTTGTGTTGAACAAAAAATATTACATACATTTCATACTAGCTCTTATGCTCGATGGTTGCGCATATAACGCGTATTACTATATTATATAGTGACCAAGACAACTACGTGAGATTGAATAGCCGCAGCAGCAGGCAGAGACTAACTACATAATTCGCACAACTAAAAGGTGAAATCATGTGCATGATTGCGGTTTTTGCTGCGAACAAAAGCGAGTACGGTACGACACTATAGCACGACAAAGGAAAAATGGTATTTTTATTAACTTGGTTGAGCAGTTATGTCGGCCGGCACACTGCCGCGTCTGGAGCACGACTCTATCGTGCGATTGTTGGCCGTACTGGTCATCGTCGTGGTCACGCCGCCATCGTCTAGCCTGGCCTGCAGACCAACGGGCGCCGAGCCGCGTCGCCGTGCCCAACCCTGCAACAAGTATTTCGTCGAAATTATTTCGCTGCTACTATCGCGTGGTCACGGCAAAATGTGTTTTCAGTCTTCGAATCGTTACCTGATTGCTGGCTGATCGCCTATTCGAGATCGGAACCAGAACGGCTCCCTTGTTAGTCATTTCTTCGACGCAGATTCGCGGGTCGACGTTCTCTTTCATCAATTTGAGAATCTTGGAGCTCTTCTCCCTGGTCGTGTCGCTGTAGTCTCTCTTGGTACCGGGCAAACTCACGCTGTCTACGCTCTTGCGAGGTTCTCCAGTCCCAGCACCGCCGCCTCCACCGCCCATACTGCCGCTGCCGCTGTCGCTAGACGGTGTCGCGCTGGCTTGTCTCGGCGGCGAGTCGGGCGGACTGCCGATGAAAAATTTACCTCCTGCAAGACTGGTGCCGGCGGTCTCGTCCTCCTGGGTCAGTGGTATGGTGGTGAAACGTCGCCCCGAGCCCGGAGTTCGACTCTTGCTCTGCGTCGGGGTGGAGTGTCGACGCAGCTCGCCGCCGCTCGACGAGCCCGTCAGGCCGGGTTTGACGGTGAGGTACTGCGGACTGGGCGACGAGATGCCGCTGTGAGTCATCGGCGTGGTCGGCATCGCCGCCGAAGTTGGCGAGTTGGAGCGCGAGGACGAGCTGTCACCCTCGAGAAGTACCTCGGTGCAGCACTGCGACATCTCGGCGGTCGTCGACATGTATCGCATTCGGGCGAACGGCTGTACCGGAGGGAAGGTTTGCTGTCGAGTCAAGGTCGCCTGTCGATTCGTCGTTGCTTGCTGGCTCTCCAATGCGTTGTGATCCCTGCTCAAAAAGTAATGACACGGACATTAATCAATTTCGTCACGAATCAATTAAAGCTGTGCATCGCAAGTATCGTTGCTCACCATGGCTGCTGCTGCACCAAGCTGCTCAATCTGATGGCCTCGCGACTATTGGCGATGCTGGCGATGCTCGGCTCGGGCAGCAGATTCTCGGCGCTGACGGGCCTGTCGGGCGCCGGGGAGGCCGAAGAAGAGGCACTCGTGCCCTGGCCCTGACTGTGACAGCTGATGCTCTGGGTCGGGGAGGCGCCGTCCGAGCGATGATGATACTGCTGCTGGAGGCTGCTGTAGCGCGACGAGAGCTGATTCGGGGCGCCGCCCGGTAGGCTCTCGCGACGATTGGTCGTGGGCCGCGGCGCCAGAGTCAGCAGGCTGATGGGCACCGAGTGACGTCGGCCCTGGATCGAGGCTTTCGGTGGAACCAGACCCCGCGGCGACGACGACGACAACGGCAGTTCCAGACTGGCCGAGTCCTCCTGTATCGTCTGTGTGGGACAGCAGAAGCATCGCGTGTTTACGTTTTTAATATAAATATTTCTTATTTCATTATTATTATTTATTTTTTTAACGAGCTCGACAATAATATGATTTTTTCGTCAAAGGGAATAAAACGGAAAAAAAAACTGGGTGAAACGTGATAAACGCGGATGTAATATTTACGAGAAAATATTTTTGTTGAAAAAAAACCGCTCACACGCGATAACCGTGTGTACGAAAAAATATGGAAAAAAGCGCTCTTTTGTGCTGATCCGCACAGAGAAAAGAGAATGAAAAACTCTTTTAATTAAGGAAAGCACGCTCGGCGCTCGTTACGTTTCGCATCAAAGGACTCGAATAATAACAATACTCTCGCGGCTTGTCTATGTGTAAGTGTACGCTTGAGCTTATGTGTGTGTCTGCGTGCGTGAATGTATGTTTGTGCGGTCGGACCGATGTTCACCGAAATATTATAGACCCGATAGCCTCCGGGGCAAAATGTATAGCAGCAGCACGACACGGGCAAAGGTATCAATTACAAAGAAGGTCGAGTAGAGTCGAGAGCGTAAGTATTCGATTGAAGCTTTTTACTCGTTGTGCGCTAGACGATGACGATGATGTTTATTACAGAGAAAGAGTAATTGTCTCTCACTTTGGTGAGAATGAAAAAGATTGCAGGTTTCGCGTTGCGGTCAACTTTTAATCCAGGCGTAATTACGTAAGCGAGCTTGCAATCGAGGAAACGAACCTCGGAGATCTGCACGACGTCGGTGAGAGCTTCCGAACCGCTGGAATCTCTCTGCTGCTGATGCGATTTCTTGGCCAATTCGTCCTCGAGGTGCTGGCGCTTCGATGCCTCCTCCTCGGCCTCCTTAATCATGTCCAGCCACTGCTTGTGATTGAAATCGAGATTTTTCATCAGGCTCTTGCTGAAGTCGTCGTCGATGAATTGGTGCAACAGCTTGTAGAGCGGCAGCACGATGAACTGGAAGAAGCCGTGCTGGATCTTGGGTATGCTGGTGTTGTGCCGATCGCAGACCGCCGTGACCGGCAGATTGAGCTGGCGCTCGTAGTCGCCCTGGCGGAAGAACTCCTCGCAGACCTTGTGGGCCCACTTGCGCTGCACGTCCCACGGCCTGCATGGGTTCGAGATGTCGGCGCACTTGAGGGCGATCTGCAATATGAAGTGGCGGTGCTCCTCCGATTCCATGCTCAGCTCGCTGCCCAGGTATTCCTAGAAAAACGACACCGAGCCACGTTGATCATTATTATTATTATTATTATATTAATTTTCTCGACAAGTCAAGCTGGCTGGCAAGACGCGGCAAGACGCCTCGACTATTTTCGCGCTTCTCGTGAGAGAGAGAGGATTTTTCAGAGAATTAAAATAGACCGCGCGAAAAGACGAAAATAGGTCTACTCGCGAGGCTTGCATATACTTTCCAGTAGTACGTATGTGCGCGCGATAAAATACGAGAGAGATAAGCTCGCTTGGCCGAAGTAATAATGATGAGCAGCGTTAGTAGCAGCAGCAGCAGCGCGCGAAAATCCAATTACACGTGTCTTGGCATGTGAATCTTTTTTTGTCCTATCTTATCGATGTCAATAGATATATACGCGACTGCTGATTAATCACGATAGACAAATGTTCGGCCAGGCCAGAGCTGAGAGAGAGAGAAGACGTCGAAGGAATCCCGGATTGGAGAGGCTTTTATTGACCCGACGTTCGACACAAAATTAGCCCTGTACAAAGCAGGCACTAGGCTAACGAGATACACATTCGCAGGCTACAGCTGATATAACTCCTCTATTGCTTGGGATTTTTCTTTTTTATATACGTCAATGAAATTACGTCGCCCGGAAAGAGAGGATGGATGAAGAAAAAAAAGGGGAAAAATCGAGTTGCAACTAAGTAGCGGAGCAGATTCTTTTGAAAACTTTTTCCAATTAAAGAGACCGCGGAGAGAGCTTAAGTCGATACTTAGTGTGCCCGGGATATAGATTGATGCAGCTGCTTTGTGTATATAAGAACTTGCACAGGACGAGAGAAGCAATTAGAATAACAAGCGCAACCCGCGTGCACCCCCGTCACGTTGCAGCAGTCAATAAATAATAAAATATGTACTAGCCCCGGTCTATACTCGTTTTAAAGGCTTTTCATGTATACATGAATTCATGGCGCATGGAATTGGAAAAAAAAACGAGAAGAGAGAAGATTGAAAAAAAAACCCAAGCAAGTATACAAGAGAGGTAGAGGTAGTTAGACTGATTAAAGGAAGGAAATCCATATTCATTCTCTCTCTCTCTCTCTCTCTCTTTGACGTTACACATTTTCCGTCTCGCTTCTACTTTCAATTAACTTGGATTTTCAAAAGAGAGACTTGAATAATTTCATCTTGTTTGAACGAGTCCGCTTCATTTGCAATATTTGCACTGAAGTGGTATAGAGTCATATAGCCGCGCGCGATTGAAAACGAAGAAACGTTGCGAGCGAGCAGTCGAGAGTGAATTATTAATCAAGCTAAAAAGCCGAGTAATGCGTCGATATGCAGCTGCTGCTGCTGCTGCATGCCGTACGTACGTGTGTATGTGCACGTTATTATATACGTATATATAATGTTTGTACGATGATGATGATGATGATGTACGTACCTCGAAGCGCGTGAGAAATTCGTTCTGGCGAGTTATGTCGGTGGCGAGTATGAGCTCGCAGATGCGCCGCTCGAGGTCGGGCTTGATCTCCTCGGACAGCTGGTCCGCCACCCCGGACTCGAGCAGGCAGCCGATGGCCGACCTCCAGTGGTGATTCTCCAGCACGGATTTGTTCTGCGCAGGCAAACAGGCAATTATTAAACGTTTTACAATGTAACGTGTGCTATATAATAAATATTTCATGCACGAACGGCTGCGCGCGAGTCGGCTTTGAGGCGCTTTGAAGAGGTAGCCCCGGGGCTTGCGAGCGCCGAGCATTATGTTAAAGCTCGGCAACTACTTAATCCTGTTACTTTCTCTGCCTCGCTTATAATATGCGTGTAAGAGCAAAGTTGCTTACAGCATTAGAGCTCGCGTTAACGAGCGATGCTTGGCAATTAACAGAGCCTCGTATTTTTCTCTCTCTCTCTCTCTCTCTCTAAAATCGTGCATACGATTATTGTCGTTCGCGATCGATCGAACCCCAAAAAGTCCACGTCTCGGAGAAAACCGCGTGTAATCCCGCGCGTAAGGTCACCTCCGCGCGTGAGTAGAGAGTTGAGCAACGGTAGTAAGACTGCACCGCAGAGAAAAACAACTTTTTAACGCGAATATCGCGCCGCCGTCGTGCGAGGACGTTGTTTTAAAGCATGCAATGTGTGTGTTATTGTTTTCTTTCTTATCTTTTCCGAGTTTTATGCAATCGCGAGCGGCGGCGCGTACGCGCGCGTGGTATGCGCTACAGAGCTGCGATTCAAAGGAATCGATTGATTATTTATTTCCCGCTCTTTTTTTCCGGCTGACTATTTGCGAAAAGCTTGATAAATTGATAAAAGCGAGAAGAGAGACCAATAACAAAAAAAAAACGAAATGAAACAAAAAAATTAAAAACCCGATAGAGATGAAAGAGGTCATCTCAGCAGCAGCTGCGGTGCGGCTTTTTCACGCGTCGCATTTTTGAATTACGTAACTAATTACTTGCTGCGCGCGCGTACGTAGAGAGAGAGAGATTTATGCGTATATTTTTCAGTCGCGCGAGCAAGAGCAGCGGAGGTCAACGGAATCCTACGCGCTAAAAAAAATCATCATAAAAAGCGAGAGAGAGAGAGAGAGAGAGAGGCGAGTTTTAAAAATTAGATAAAATAATCTGTTTCAGCTGTGCCGCTGCCGCTACTATATATACCTGATAAAGCGTGGCCAGGTGGTTGCTGGTGGCGACGAGGAACGGCTGATTGACGCCGGGATGATCGAGGTCGTGCGTCACTGCGGCGATGAGGGCGGCCATTATTTCAAGAGGGCTCAGATGTTTTCTTATCTGTGGAGGGGCCGGTGAACAAAAAAGTAAAAAAGCACACGTGAGCCAACACACATACATATCGTATACGTTCTCCTCTTTTTTTCTCCTTCTCCGTTCGATTTATACGCGGCGCCTCGCACAATATTAAAATACATTACCTTTTCGACTTGGAGGAAGCAGTGCATCGCTTGCGTGACATCGGCCGCGTGTATACTGTTATGGTAAGGATTCGTACTGTGATAACCCTCCTCGATCAAGGCTGCAACAGAAGAGAAAGAACACAGCTTGTATCGGCGAAATACACTGAGGACGTCTTGTCGTAGTACACGGGGTGAGTCGCGTGCAGCCGCAAACGTAATATTTATTTACAAGCCGCGCACGGGAGGAACGACCTATCGGTTCGAATCAAGGCCTCTTTATATGATGTACTTACAGAAGAGCTTCCAGACATTGACGACGTCGAGCTTGAAGTACTCCAAGAGCCCGTACCAGTGGAAGAGGTGGACGCAGAGCACCGGCAGCGATCGACCTGTGCGAACGACGAGATGAGCCATCGAAAAAATTCTAAAATCCATACAGGGCTCGATCTGAATGGTACTCACCGCCAGCGACGTTTTCGAGGGTGAAAGCGTTGAAATCCCACTCGGCCACCTTCTCGAGGACGCACTGCACCAGTCCGTTGGCGATGTCGTCGAGCAGTCCCGGCTCCTGATCGAGCGATCGCGTGGTCAGTCGCTTCCTGCGCCGCTTGTGCATCGTGAGGAAGCGGCCGGTGTGCCTGTGCCTGTGCTGGCTCAGGTCCAGCCGCAGCAGCAGCTGCTTCTCGAGCTCGCTGTGCTCGGCGGCGGTGGCTGCCTCGCTGCAGCGCCTGATGATGGCTCGCGCCTGCTGCTCGAGCTCCTCCTTGTCCGCGTCCTCCTTCGCGAGCTCGTCGTCCTCGTCCTCGTCGTCGTCGTAGTCGTCGACCTCGGCCGTGCAGAGCGTCGCCCTTTTCTCGCTCGCGGCTGCGATCACCTCCTCTGTTGGTGTATCGTGCGTGCGGGGGACACACAAGCATGTATCAAAGTCAATGCGAGAAACGGCGGAAAATCGGCAATTCTCTCCGTCGGGCGCGCGGCTCAAACTTCATTATCGATTTTGGCATCCGATCAAGACGCTAATTCACTTCGCTCGTATAAAGTAGCGATATGTGCAACGGCCGCTTACTTACGTTACTCTATGCGATTCGTTACTGCCTCGGGCGCGTGTACCATATATGTATGTCAGCTAATGAATGGCAAACAATGCAACGGAAACATCAAGCGTATATATATCGTTACCATACTACTACTACTAGACTCGGACTCGATCGGCCCGAGCATCGTTGTTTCAGGAAGTTTTCGCGAGGAACGCGAGGCATTATTTTTAGCCCGTCACTTTGGGATAGTAGTAGTGCACCGAGTGCATTTTTTCGCGTATAATATAAATCAACGAGAATGAAATAAGAGAGATCTTTTTTCTAACTCACCGGACATTCGCAGCACCAAATCGTGCTGATCCAACATCACTTCGGTTGCTTGGCTCTGTAACAGAAAGAAAAAAAAAAGCAGCCCATTAGATTTACTTTTTGCCCTGCGCACGTGAAAATAGTCATTAGTCCTTATAGCGTATACGCTTATAGCACGGTACATTTATAAAATGTTAAATTGCTCGGTAGCGCGGCGGAGCAAAAAAAACCCCTGCAGTCGTCTCTAGTTAATGTATAAAATCGTCCGGGAATCATCAATTTCAATCGAGTACAGAGAGTCCGGAGCTCTCCGCAGCGGAGGCAATGATTGCTCGCTTTGTAACCGAGGCAGCTCTATATAATACGCCGTCGTCGTAGCCGCCGTCGTTGTCGAGGCAGGAAAAGAGCCTCTCTGTTTCAGATAGCTCGTGTATTGTAAAATATTTGACGTATCAATTTCATCTTCTCTCTCTCTCACTCGTCGCCGGGGCAGCTCTCGCATGCGAGCGCGTGCCAATTGCGCGACGATATCTATATCTATATGATACTTATACGCGATAGGTACCTACATACAATGTAACGCGCTATACGATTGAGAAAACGTAAATTGATCCTCCTTCTACACTACGTGTGTGTGTGTGTGTGTGTGTGTGTGGGTATGTAGATCGCTCGAAGCGCATCGGATGTCTGCGCTGCTGCACACTGCACTCAACCGACAAATTATCGGCGATAATTCGAAAATAAATCCATCGTAGTAGTACTACTGCTGCTACGAGCAGGCAGGCAGGCAGAGGTAGCTCTCTCGAACGAGGCTCGAACCGCTGCGATGCATCTTGACTGGCATTATTTTCCACTTGAAATTCACGCGCACGTCTACTACGCGTCCTACTACAGCTCGGCTACTTTTACGGCTCGGAGCACTTTGGAATTGGCAGGTACGCGGTATAGTACAGCTGCGCAGTCGAGTCGGTGAAAATTTGATGAAATCGACACTTGTACGTACGGAGAGAAGAGGCCTATGTTGGCTGGGAAAAGTGCCTCGGAATCAAGCTATGATAGTTTTTTTATTATATAGTAGGCACTTTTTCCAACGACGAACCTTCGGTCTGTGTAATAAATTGATAAAATTCATGTATGCATTTGACGTTGAACCGAGACTCGCGGCAAATTTTGAGCCATAGACTCAGAGGCACTGTTGCGCCTCTGGATATATCCGTGCCGAAGCAACAAAAAAAGAAGGAAAAAAATTAACCGAATTATCTGTCGCTTAATAGAACTTTATTGCTACAAGCGAGTTCGTCGCGAAGTCAACGTCTACGTCGACGGCACGATAGAGTCATTTTATTGAATTATTGCCTTTTTATATACGTTTTAAAAGAGAAAGACGAGACAAGACGCGTATACGCGTCAAAGAATCGATTCTCTCCGCAAGCTCGGCAGCGACAGAGAAAATGAGACTACCCAGTCAATATTTCAGTCAAATTTCCATTGCTTACACCGTCGCTGATAAAGTAGAAGAAGTCTATAAAGAAGAAAGAGAAGAAGAAAAAAGAAAAAAAATCTGCGCGCATGTTATATACGTCGTATTATAGACGAGCTCGGAGCTTTGATTGATGTGAGAAAGAAGACAATAGGTCGGTCGGTCGCGACTCGAGAGATGATGTATCGCGAGCGGGGGCGCGCACATCATGCACACACAGCTTCGTCGCAGCTGCATCGTCAGGAGCTGCGATGGCGTTATTACCGCTACCACTACCACTACTACGTCGAGTTTATTAGACAAGTTTTATCGTACTTGTTGTTATTAACGGAAGAAGACGCGCGCGCGAGCCGAGATACGATGCACTCTCGAGTCGAGTCAGCCCGCGCGTGCAACTTTGATTTACTAACGTATATTATGTACTCTCTCTTTCTGCGTGCCGCTGTACGCGGCGATTTTTCCCTGTCCGCCTGATGCCGCGCTGTAACGGATTAGTGCGATATCTCTATTCGACGACTTTCGTGGCCCTGTATGTATGTGCGTGTATAAAATCGTCGATTTTTTGCGTACTCGCTGCAGAGCGTTTATGCGCCTCGAAAAATCTCTCTCTTACATCATATTCTCGAAAAAAGTAAACACACGCGTCGTGTACATCAAAGTCGAATGAAAAATATATATTGACAATTGTTTTTACATGTAAGCTCGCGCTGGAAAGCTTTCCAGTGTGCACACGCGCGCGCACGCGGTGTACTTTGGGAAAAGTACGTTTTTACGTGCCGCGTATTTGCAAGTAGCCTACGTAGTGCGCTGCCAGCAGCTAGAAGCTTTGAAAATGTGCGCGCCGAAGCTCGACGTTTGATAAATAGAAGAGCAGTGGGTACGTTTTGATACACGAGCTGTGCTACAGCAGCAGCTTTCTCGCTTGAAAAAATGCAGCCCAGCAATTGCAAGTTTCTCTCACTCTCTCTCTCTCTCGACTACTGGCAAAAGTAGCCTTGATCTCTTTACTCCGCGAGCTGGCGCGAGCTCGGAGTAGAGAGCTGATGCGAGCTTTTCATACTGCTGCTGCAACTGTCGGGGGTTGTTGGGCGCGCGCCTCACGGATATACATGCCAGGCATGCAAGCTCGCTGGCACTATACTACTACTGCTACTCAGACATGCACGCGGTGGCGGCGGCGGCGGCGGCGAAGCTTAGGCGCGCGCGATGTAAACATTGCTTATAGGATGGCAAACGCCGAGATTATCTATTTCGTGTATGGCGCAATGCGTTATTGCCTAGTCCGGACGGACGTAGGCGCGCGGACCTGCTAATCATCGTGCATCGCCATTAACACGAGCTCGTTCGCACAAACTCTGTTTTGTATGTGTAGCTCGCTTACATTCATGAGCGCTGACTAGCTCACGTTCTGTTGGGAGGTTTGATCGATACAAACGGCCGAAAGTACCGAGTGCGGCGATGCGAGTACGCGCCGGGGAATCGTTATTATGGTCAACGAGCAACGGCCAGGCTGCTAACTGCGAGCCTGGCTAATTACCTGCTGCAGAGTCATTCTCGGCCCAAATAACGACAACGGAAAAAAAATGAGTAAAAAAGAAAAAGTAGTAAAAAATATATAATACTCGCCGCGCACCGAAAATCCAAATCCAGAGATGGTCGCACTCGAGCCGTATAGTCGTTTTATTATAATACATATATATATACGTAGCGAGGGGATGGAAGCTCGAGCTTGGCCGTGCTTTAACCCGTTTTTGGCGCGAGTACGCGACTTCTTACGCGACTATTGGCAGCCGCCTAGACCGCGCGAGACGTGCCTGCCGAGCTTTGCTCTTTACTTTCGATAGGAAGAGACAGTGATAACGTTGTATGTGTGCGAGTAAGCGAGCGTGAGAGAGATGGAACAAAATGAAAGAGAAAAGTATGTATAGGCTTGCGCGCATGTGTGTGCGAGCGAGCTTTCGCAGCCGGTGCACAGGCACAGACAGGCAGGCAGGCAGGCATATACACGCTGTGCGGCGCGCACTGCAAAAATCGAGAGCGCCAAGAGGGTTGCGGCTTGGCACGGAGCTCTATACATCGCATGCAGCATATATTCATACATTCATGTACTCATCGTCGTCGTCGTCGTCGTCGTCGCGCTCCCTTGTGTGTGCATGTATGTACGTGTGTGTGTGTGTGTGTGTGTGTGAATTAGTGCGCGAGCTCCGAGCCTGACGTCACAGTTGCGAGTTTCGGGTCATGCACTATGAAATTCAGGTCGACTACTACTGGCACTGTGCTCTTGCTCGCTGTGCTTGGGTAGCATAGCTACTGCAACTACTACTAGTACTACATTACACAAGCACTATATGCATCTCGCTCTCTTCGTTGCCGTCGTCGTTGTCGTTTGAATCTCGCCACCTCCTCCGCGCCGCGTCTCCGGCAGCTTTTTTTTTCAACTCGCTTCTTTCTTTTTTGCTTTATATACCGTGCACTTGTAATCGCTTTTTTCTCCCTCTCTCTCTCTCGCTCTCCTCCACCCCTGCTGCTGCTCCTGTGCCGCTGCTCCCAACTCTGTCTCTCTCTCTCTCTCTCTCGTCGCTACACTGGCGCGCGACCTTAAAGAAGAAGCTCGCTTCGCTCACGGAGAGAATCAAACGTGTATACATAGTAGCCGGCCCAAGTGCAACGGATGCAATTTTCGCAGAGGTGGCGCAAAAAGGAGCACATTTACAGGGAAACGAGCGCGTGTTTTTTGTCTTAGCTCTGCGCTGCGAAGCTCCGATAATGGAGCGCTTTTCGCTGCAGCAGCGCGCTGATGAATAGAGCTCGTATGACACGTACATAATAAGCGAGGATGCGCGGGGACTGCAGTAGCATTAAGCGTCTCTCTTTTACTCTCTTTCTCTCTCCTCCTCGCAAACGGCTAAATTACATTATAAGCGTGAAAATTAATACGTCGTTTGTTATTCTCCGAGCACTCGATATTATGCGCATTATAATACGAGGAACATTGCGTATCTCTGCTACTCTGGCTTACTACGAGTGAGCGCGACATGGCCTGTCACAATGGCCGATGGGCAATAATGCCCTGCAGATGCACTGTATGCACTTGACGTCCGACGGCGATATTAGTATATATAAGGAGGAGCAGCCCTGCCAACACCCATCTGTCGTTATATAGCTTCGACTATATATAATACGATATGGTCGACGCGAGATGCAAATGCTCATCTCGGGCTCGCTCGAGCTTCTCGCTCTCTATGTATAATGCCCCCGTGATGCTAGCTCGACTATGCAGTATACGTGCGCGCGAACGATAATAAGCTTATGTCCAATATTGAAATGTAGCCCCGTCGCGCCCGAGTATAGCATCGCGTCGTCGTCGCGTATACCGAGGATTTTTTCCTTTATTTTTTATTCATCCACCACGTCGTCGTCGACGTCGCAACGTCGACGTGTGCTTCTCTTTTATTACGCGCTTCGCGCGCTTAATCTTTTACACCGCCACCGCACCGCCGGGCGCTCTGGAACTTGGACGAATCGAATTCAATATTGTACAAGTACGCGACTTATAGCATTTTCCACCGTTTTTTCTCTTCATTTTATTTTTTATT